GGTTTAAGTTGGTAAAGTTTTACTTATGACTCCCCAAACTTGTGGGCAGCCCTTCATTATAATACAGTGTCAAGAGTGAAAATGTTTAAGCCATCCATTAAAGCTGAGACTTTATATTTCATTACAAAAACATAACAAATCATGCGGAATAATTATTGATGCTGGATGTTGGAGTGTGACTGTTGCTCCATACTATCTAAGAGGGGACATGTGTCGTTATGTAGCAACCAACAGTGGATTCATGTCATTAAATGCCATACAAGTGTGGACCTTTTTTCTGTAAGCCTAATGCAAACATGAAAATACCATGCATTCCTGATGAAAACCCATCAGGACATCAATTTATTTGGGTAGCCTTTTATCTTACAGTCTGAAGCTTAATACTAGTTAGGAAATCTACTATTGCTGAGCCTTTAAGTTTTGTTTCAAAAGCATATTATCAAATCATGTGTCAACAGACTGCTTAGTTGAGATTATATTTTTCTCATAAGTATTATTGTTTTTGCTTTCGTTTGTCATACATGCTATAGTTTGAATGTCAAATTATCCTTATTAGAAAAAGGATAACTCATTATCTGTTGTCTGACCTCATTATATTCATAAATGACTTTAGCCCCTAAAGATATCCAAATAGCCTTAACAGAGTGTAGTGGATGTGTGATTCAAAACCAGTCTAAGATTCAGTTATTAAGAGCAAATACAATGTAACTCTTTAAAATGCATACATCACCATTCCACACAGGTCATAAAAATGACCATCCCACACAGAAGAATATGAATTCCCCTAAGAGAAAATGCACTAGTGTAATAAGATATTTTATTATTATTTAAACGGTATTTGAAACCTAGATCAAGTAATTTTTGTTGGTAATACTGTAGTGCTTGATATCAATGCATGCAGCAAAGTTACTTCTGAATTAAAGTTTAAAGTTTATTTATTTTCAGTTAAAGTGATTAAAGTTTGGATCACGGTGAAATGTTTACACATCGCTCACATTAAAGTAAAATTATCCATTTTTGAAAGAAACAAAGAAAGTCTTTGAAGGTAAAAACACTCATTAGGTGAGAATGAGCACAGACAGTTCCACTGCATAACAATGGAGGTCCCCTCTTGGATAGGTAGCTATCGTTTAAGGATCTAAGTCCCCTCTTGGCAATTTCTTTAAAAAGCAAAAAAAGCAAATCTGCAGTAATATTATGTTAAAAGACAGTAAAAGTAAATTTTGTATTATATTTATTTTACTTCAAAAGGACTGGAAACACAGGTCCACACTTGGCAGTTTACTCCGACGGTGCACTGTTGGATAGGTACGCGTGTATGTGTGTGTGTGTGTGTGTGTATGTGTGTGCTTCTCTCTGTTGGTCTGAACAAAATGAATTAACTGTGTTTTTGTCCAAATACTGGTTCTTAAATGAAGTTTAAATTATCAGTTTTGTTTAAGTTACAGCTGAAGTGCTGTAAACTAAATGAACTAAATATGTTCTTTAACACAGGGACGGACAAAGATACAAGATATTTCAAAAACAAAATACCAAATACACAAATTTATAGTAAAGTAAAACTACAAAATCCAGCAGCCACGCCATGTATCAAAAAAAACTGATTAAGTCTTTCTATCTATCTATCTGTGGTGTACTAAAGATTTCTCACAATTTGATCAAAGCCATTCTGACCTAAGTTGTTTTTTTATCATTTAAAATCAGCTGTATTTTTTAAAATTGTGTTCAATTTTATATATTTACATTAAGGGTAGGGATGTATGACCCTAAACTACCCTATATTTCCTATTACCTAGTGGACAGTATCATACCAGAGACGGTGACTATAAGCTGCCTACATAATAATTATCAACCATAAATATAAGATAGATCAATCCTCCCTCTGACCATAACGTGGAAATAATAAGTCAAATAAAAAATTGTCAGTATAGCCTATAGGGAAACACTATCATTTCTCATCTCGCCAGGGGCGGACTGGGACAAAAATTCCTCCCTGACACTGAAGCCACACCAGTACATATTACCACCCAGAAAAAACACTTTTACTACTTAAGCTACATTTGTGTACAGATGGTGAGATAATATAAGCAGTAGGCCTACCGTATTTAACAGATTTATAACATTTCATGTGACTGGCACACAATGCTTTTTTAAGAGCACACGTTTATAACAAATACAGTTAAAACAAAGGCTGTGCGTCTGAGTATGTTGTAGAGTCTGTGTGCTCTGTCTGTTTATTTGCTGTTACTGTCTTTCTCTACAGCAGAATTAAACCGAACATTTGTGTGTTTTCTTCCTCTACCACCCTCCTCCCTGTCTCTGGCCCACAGCAGCATCCTTCCTCACAGCACTGGCACTATAAGACCAGGGGTCTCTGGCTGTACCGATTCCAGCAACATCCTAGTTCATGAACACAGAATAGGAAATAAACATTATTTCACATATTTCACATATAACACATATTTCCTTTTTAAGGAGAGTCGGATCACCATGACAAGTGAATGCTCCTTTCGATTTCATGGCCCTGCCACAGTAAAAGAAATCCTGAGTTTGCTCTTTATCTGTGAATTTAATCTCTACAGTGAATGCAGTTAGATTCTCTGACATATGACTTCACATGTTAATATCTCAATATTTAATCAGTCAGCAGCTTTGACTGTTAATCGTACAACAACACCAAACCCAGCAGATTTCTAGACTTGAATGAATTTGCTCTGCAGTGTTCATGGATCCAGTTCAATCTAAAAACGGTGTTTTGCACCTGTTTGCTATGTTTTCTTTACGACTTGCCCAACAGGTTATCTCCGGTTTGGTGTGTCAGACGTGTCACCCAATCAGCTGCGACATGTAGGCTATGTAAACAGATTCAAGGCAGTAAGGTGCAGCGCGCTGTGGGTGTTCAAGGCACCAATGTGTCTGTTGTAATAAACGTTTTGCTACTTTTTGTCGGCGCTGAACTTGCCCCAGAGTGAACCCACCTCCCAGTATCCTTCAATTTCACTTGGCTTAGATATGTGGTCATGGCTCTTTGAAGCAGCTCAGAAAATGAGAAAAAGAAACAAAACAGCAGCAGCTCCTTTCGTCCAGATAGCATGTTTGAAATAGATGTTTTATTTTTTCACTGTTCCTATCACATGATTTATCAAACACTCTTATCCTGTTCATCACAACTGTGCAGTTTAATGAGTCCATGTACATTCAAAGCTAATGTTGAAGGTGTGTCAGTGTCTACAACTACTACAACAGCAAAATCCTGCATTTACATTAAATGCATAAGTAATAATAATTTAATGATATAATATGTTTTTCTCTCTGCATTGATTACTTTTACTTTTAATACTTTAAGTACATTTTCCTGATTATACCTTTACATACTTCATACATCATTCTGTGTTTATTCTGCCACCTTGTGGACAAAAGTGTGAAATGCATTTCATCTTCTACAGACTTTCTCTCCCTCTTTTGGCCAAATCAGTAGAACATTATCACTGGTCATTTCCCATCTTATTTCCACTGCAGCTGAATGTTTGTAATGTTTTCATTTGTCAGTTCTGTTTGTGTTGGGAAGAGAAGCGGTGAGAAAACAGATTCAGATCTATTCGAATCAAATAAATAAATAAAACAAATTAGAGAGAACAAAAAGCTAAGTTATCTAAAATATAAACATTACAAAACCTTCCTAATTTCCTGTACAGACATGATGTATGTAGGTCTGAATAATAAATTAAATATAGAAAACAGCCTGAATCAGTAATAAATATAAGAGGAACTCAAACTATAAAAAGATATACAAAAAACTGTATGTGATTGTGTACCAAAAATGTACATGTAGGCCTATGTTTTGTTTATTTTCAGTTACAGAACATGGCGTGGTTATTTGGGACAGCATGTTTCAGTTAAACTGGACTATGTAAAGAGCCTGTTAAAATGAAATGTGTGGATTTATATCACCTGATACAAAGAGGGACCACAGAGATATAGCCTACAGGAAACTAAGTAGAATGATAAAATGCTAATGATGATAATCCTTCAAACTGTAAAGGCCTTATAATTTATTCAAATGAACCTGTTCCAATAACCTACTGACAGGGACAAACAATAAAGCAAATGTCTAGTATGTTTAGTGTGGTAGTGCCTTAAGTCTAATAAAGCGGGCAGGTGTAGCCTTCTCACTTTGTTTAATCTGTGGTTTTATAGTCTACATGATGGATTTACGGTCTGTTGCAGAACAACATGGCACCCAAGAAACAGAAAAATAACATTTTAACAGTCTAGTTATTTGACATTTGTTGACGCAATAATAAATTAAGCCTTGATAACAAATCACAAGCTAATAAATGATATTAAGTAGCCAGAGACATAAAAGGCTATTTAATTTAATTCAGTTTAATTTAATGTATGGTTAAGAAATAGTCTAAGTTTCATTGCATTTGTTTTGATTAATTCCTGTTTGACATAACAGCAGACACCAAGTACATAACACAGGACTAAAGTGTGTTTTACTTCCTGACTCTAGGAAGGCTGTTGTTTGTGATCTGGTTTTGACAACTAATGTAGCCTTTTTTCCCCACTTCAATTCAGCCACCCTTGAAACTGTCAGGAGCCCCTGGGGGCCACATACTATACACCAATGAACCTCTGTCCCAAATGATCAAATATGTGATGTTGCTACTATGAGTTTTGTGTCAACTATCCAAATACCATACACACATTTCTTCACATTGAGAAAGCAGACACAGGAACACTAATTCAGAAATTTATCCTGTTTTGGCTTATTTTTTAAAATTTATGGCAAAAACAAGATCAGAATGTAGAATTTAATATATATATTTTTCTGAATTCCCCCCACTGATCATAACAGTAACGGCCTCTCTGTAGCAGCAGGCGCTTCATCATGTTTCTAGTAGACATTATGTAATATCACAACAGAGCTGATTGTTCCCCCTCTGCACTCAGCAGAGTGGACTGGTCCGATGGAGCGACCCACCTTCTCCTCCTCCACCCTTCCTCCTCCTCCTCCTCCTCCTCCTCCTCCTCCTCCTCCTCGGCTCCGGCAGTCAGGAGCGTCACCGTCGGGCTGCTGGTCGCGTTCAGGTCTCATCCTGCACATTTTGATTTTTTCTGCGCTGTTTGGAGGTAAGAGCCGCTTCTTTTCTCTTCAGCAGTATAAAAGACTGTAGAGGAGCAGCTCCGGGTTCTGGTCCCGTGTCTGTGTTGTTATCGTGCTCCTGCAGACGCACTTGTCTCCTCTCCCTCCCCTTTTCATCATCCGCGTTACGAAGCCTCAGATCCTGAAGGCCACACGAGATGCTGTTGTACCGTCGAAGGATCCTCTCAGACCTGCTGCTGTAGAAACATCTGTTTATTAAAGGCCTCTGAGGGTCGGATACAGCTTTATTCTGATTATATACAGGTAGAAACTCGCCTCCATTGTACAGGCTGCCAATTACTATCATTTTTATTTTTAAGATGCTTCCTGGATCAATAGTTTGGTCCAATAAATGTCTGATTTAGGGAAATATGTCCAAAAATCAAAAGGTTTTGATTGTTTGGATCAATTTTCTGTGCGTCAATAATCGATTGATCCAGATCATTTATATCCACGTCTTAGTAAAATGTTTAAAGGAGCAGTATGTCCCCACAACCATAAATATAAGATATTATGGTTTATTCTGGTTTCTACATGTCAGGTGGCCTCAGTTTCCTCTTCCTCCTCTTATATTACACCTGTAGCAGCTTGTTTTTACTTCCTTACAGTCAATTTTTATAATTAATTAATTGTTTGAGTAGCCTATGCTAATTTATTACATAAAAATAATTTCACACCAACGTCTTACATGTAAATATGTTCTGCTTATCTCTGTTTTATTGCTCAGTATATCTCTGGGTTCTGGACAGAAATAAGACATTTTTTCACATAGATGTTTTCACTAAGTGAATAATTATTTAATCGGACAAATAATGAACAAAATTATTGATAATGAGAGTAACAGTTTAGTTGGAGGCTTGATATCAGTAGTGAGGAAAATATCCTGATACGCTGTGTTATTGTGTAAAAGCCTGTCCTGCATGTTTTTGTACATTTACCTGATCACGTTGGTTTGTGTGTGTGTGGTCGGACTAATGGGCCACACACACTGCGCTCAGCTCCATTGACGACTCTGTGGCAGTTAAAAGCTCTTAGTGATAAGACTATCAGGCACAGAAAGCACTCAGCCTGCTGCCGGTCAGGTGGATGGATCGCTGTCAAGTCCTCAGAGACTCAGAGGTGGATGTAACTGTACATTTACTCTAGTAGGCCTACTACTTGTTTTGTATTTTCATTTTATACCACATTAATCTTCTACTCTGCAACATTTCAGAGGGAAATATTGTAGCTTACTTTACTCCACTGCCTTTATTTGACAGATCTGTTGCTGGTTACTTTACATACAACAAAAAAAAGAGTAAAACCCGACCTGTACTGATATTTTAGAGTCTACAGCTCTGTGAAGCCCACACACAGCAGTGCTTTGAGCTAAATGCTAATGCTAACATGCTCACAATGACAATGATAACCAGAGGAGCTTTACGAGAAGACTCGCCACCTAAAGAATCCTCAATACAGCTCTGTAGGGAAAGCCTGTACGCCAGAGATGGTGGTTGTCCCGCTCCTCCGGCGAGAAAGCCAATTGTCTTTTAACAGCCGAGCCAATCATGTGGGTCCACTGACGTAAGGGTCTAGCATGTGTAGTAGAAATAAAACCTTATTTTGGGGCAAAGTCATCAAACTTTATCATTTTTTACCGGTGATTCTACACATGCAGGTTTATGTCCTGATGCAGTTCAGAGCCGGGGGTCTGAAATAACCGTCTTACCAAGATGGCTGCCGAGTGGCAGGACTTGCCTTTATAAGGACTTTGGTTTAACGTTAACGTGCAAATTTGCGCCATTTTTCAATAAACAAGCCGCCTGACAGAGGTGACCTTTAAGCGGACGGAGAGCCAGAGAGTCAAACACGCAGGAAGCTTCAGAGAGCTTGTTCTCGTCTTCAGTCTTTATTGAATGAAATCGATGAACAGTCCCCAAAACAAAATGTCAGGAGGAGTAACCAGCCCTGTGAGTCGTCACCACGTCACAAGTGTCTAAAAAGAAATGTGTTTTTGCAAGAACAGTTCAGTAAAGCTGGAACAAGCCCATAGTTAGCTTAGCTTAGCATAAAGAAACATCTGCTAAAGCACCTCTATAGCTCACTGATTGACATGCTACAGCTCATCTGCCCGATCTGAACACAAACTGACGTGTGAAGACGCCATGTTGTGGTCATGTGGCAGAATATTTACTGGCTAACACTTTCCCTGTTTCCAGTCTTTATGCTAAGCTAAGCTAACTGGCTGTAGCTTCATATTTAGTAGCGTACAGACACGAGAGTTCATCAATCTGAGCATCTGACTCTCAGCAAGAAAGAGAAGAAGAGGATTTCCCAAAATGTCAAACTAGAAATACTGTGAATGAAAAGAAACAAAGTATTTTTACAGTATTGATACTTTTACTACATTAAAGGATCTGAATTACATCAAGACAGAAAGATCCTCTCTCCCTGATCTGGAGTCAGTTTTTTGAGGTTGACCTGTCGACATCTGATGGGTAGAAGTAGACGGAGGAGGGAAGGTGAAGCTCCCCGGCTGTGAGGTGCTGATTCTCTGGAGGGAGGAGTGTAACCACAGCAGCAACTGTTGAGGATCGGCTGGGCGTTGGCCCGGCTGGGCGAGCTGATAAACAGCCAGGGAGGAGACGGGAGGGGAGGGAGGGAGGGAGGGATGGAGATGGAGTCGAAGATGGAGGAGGAAGTGGGAGGGTGACGCAGATGAAAGAGACGAGGTGACATGAAGGGGGGGGGGGGTCGTCACAGGAAGTTGGGATCTTTCAGGGAGGATATCCTCCCATGTTGTTTAGGTACAATGCCCCCCCCCCCGAGGAGGCTCTGATAACAGCCTAACGCTGATGACGCCGCAGTGTTTGAAACGGGATCATTTGTTCTCACAGCAGCTCAGCTGGAGGAAAGACGATCTGAACAAACTGATTTATTTCATTAATAACTGTCCCAGTGTGGACGTCAGGGAGGCTGCTGAGCTCTTACTGCTCTTTACTGCTACATTTCTTTTCATTTACAGGACTTTTAAGTTATAATTCATCTTGCACACTGCACAAGTAGAACATAAAATCAACTACTATAATGAGGTAGGACGGATAAATTCCTGAAGTTTCGATGCTTCCCTTAAGTCTTGTTTTGAGTATCAATAAGATTGAATCGGTCTCTCTTTAGATCAAGTTCTGGAAACGATCACTCGTAGTGCTGCTGCTGTGTTGTTCACTATTAAAACTGTCGTTACACTGTCACAGACTTCGATTTAGTAAAATAGCAAATAGAAATGCAGCCTGTTGAAGATGCATTCACATCATAAATCACAGTACTTTAGCTGTTTAGTAATAAAAAGTACTATAATATGAAGAATATTCAGAGGGTGCTGAAACCATCACAAGTCCATTAGTGGCTGTTCTGCAGCTTTCTATCTTATCACACTATCTTTGTTTTGGGTCTAATTTCCAATTTTCTAAACGGTTTAAAGATTTGTTCTCCAGGTTAGCTTTAATATCGAGGTTCAGAGATTATATTTTAGCTTTAAAAGGTGCAGTAATGCCTGTTCTGGAGCTTTCAGCCGTATCAAATAATCGTCCTCAGCTGATAATAGTCTGAAATGTGAGCATCTACACCTGATCTTAATTCATGAAGTCTCTTCCTCCTCTGAGCCTTGAGCTCCATTGTTCCCCATCAAAAGCTCAGTTTCCTCCTGTTTGTTTGATTAAAAACTACATCGAGCAGCTGTTTTAGGAAATTACTGAGCTTTAGAAACATGAAACTAAGTGTTTGTGAGTCTCATCTATTAAAATGTCTGCTGGCAAATGTGCAGCAGAAATGAAAAGTCATTAATGAGCTTTTTCCTCAGACTCCAGATGAGTCATTTCCACAACTCATTCACAAAATGTCAGCCTGTGATGAGATACTGTGTAATGGCTAATGCGTTTGCTGATTCTCTGTCTCTCTCCTTTTTGTCCAGCTGGTTAAAACCAAACAGAAGGAAGTTTCTTTCCAGTCATGCAGAAGGTAATCTATCATACAGTACACGTCCAAAACAACTCGTCCTTTGCTCGGACAGTGATGCTGTTTTGTCCGTCAGTTCTATCAGTAATAATATTATACTCTTCAAGCTAATGGCTGAGATCTGGGAACACGGTGACATTGTACTTAGCCTGATAACAGCCGACCCGACGGATGCAGGGCGCCGGGAACCAAAACAAAGCAGCTAATGGTTTTACCCTGCATAGTGAATCATTAGTGGACGACAACCAACGCCACATCTGGGACGCCTCACGACTTAGAAAGCCAGTATCACACACACTACTTCGGAGGCCATGTTTGTTTACACGCCTCCTTTCTGATGACATCACTCAGGTTGTGAGAGACGGCAAGCTATTATTGGTTGGGGACCAACTTGAATTCTGTCATATGTGACGAATATGTTGTGTAGTGTGATGATACCAAGCAGGAACCTCCGGGTCTGATGTGCCTTAAACCTGCAGCCAGCAGGGGGCGACTCCACTCGATTGTGTAGAAGTCTCTGAGAAAATGTTTCTACTTGTCAGCTGATTTATTCCCTCAGTAAACACTTTCCTGATGAGTTTATGGTCTCAGTCGCTAGTTTCAAGTCTTCTTCAACACAGCATGATGTTCATTTAGTAAATTATGGTCCCATTTAGAGGAACAGAGACCAGGAAGCAGTGGGGGTGGGAATCGCCAGAAGCCAGAGGTATCACGATACGATATTATTGCAATTTTAAACATATTGCAATTTATAGCAATATTGTATCTTTTTCCCAACTTCAAATTGTGTCCCCAAAGGAAAATTTGTTTTCTAGTGGACTGAAAAAGCAATTTTATTAGTGCCAAAAAACAAACTTCTCATGTACAATTTATATAATAAAAGATCGATACTTGACGTTCGTGTTACGATGTGATATTGCTTAGCAAAATATCACGATACTATGCTGTATCGATTTTTTTAGGAAGCAGGGGAGGCTTTAGGGCGGGGCTACCTTGTGATTGACAGGTCTCTACCATGGCAACCTGTCAATCAGGAGAGAGGCGACTCGTGTCTGCTGCTCTGTGTACATTTATCTAGGCGTGAACTTGTTTGTTTGGTTTGCAGTCGGTGTCTCTGACCCTTTCGCAGTGTGTTTTCACTTCATTAAAGTTAATCCCCGGCTTTCCCAGGATGCATGTTAAAGTGTCCTCGGGCAAAACACTGAAACCCAAATAGCTCCCGATGGTTTTGAATGCATGTGAATATTTATTTCTGTTCTGATGAGCAGTTGCCATCAGTGTATGAATGGGTGAATGTGACGGAGTGTGCAAAAGTGCGGTTGCAAAGACTAGAAAGGTGCTATAAGTACAGACCGTTTACCATTAGCAGTTGTACTAAAAGGAATCGATTATTCATTTGTTTGTCAACAAAAGTACGATTTGGTGCAAGCCTGTTTTTTGCTTGCCAAAAGTTACATCCCAAATAATATCACGGTTGATGTGAATTACGGCTGCACCTTGCTAACCAAGTTAACTAGCTCCACCCTCCAAATATGGTCACGTCTGGTTCCAAGAAAACAAGACGGCGACGGCCAAAATGCCAAACTGGAGGTTTCAAAACGGTCGTCCGCAAATGTCACCGGATACAGCAAGCTAATCTTTACAGCTCGTTGTCTTACTCAGTTGGGATTACAAGTACAATAGCAGTGGACATCACACACCTCTTCACTCTCCTACCATCTGGGCGCAGGTTCAGGTCCCTGAGGTGTAAAAAATGCCGGATGCAGCCCTGAACAAGGTGTCTGATGAGGACAGAAGGAGCCCTGCTTTCACCTGTCCTGTCTCTTGTTCATGTTGTTTTGCAGCTACATTTGTTGGGAAATATTATGAGATTAGGAAAATGTTAAATGGATGTTTACAACAGATAGTTTGGGTCGTACGCTTAACAGTTTGACTAACCTGCAGGGCTGGTTGTGTTTCTTTACCCCAGGGCTCCAACAGCTGGCTGACTGCAATGTTATTACTGATAGAAATGATGGATAAAGCAAAATAAAACCAAAATAACGCGCAGGTTTTTATAAACTGGAATGATTTTCACATCCTAAATGTTTGTCACAGGTGGAGGGACGGGTAACCCCAATCAACCTGCCTTCTTCCAGGGGCCCCAGCACCCCGGGGTCTCCCGCCACTGGCATCACAGTAAACACTCTTATACAGACTCAAAGACACCTGTATCATCAGCCTGCACGCTCAAACACTGACCTGTATGTGTGTGTGGTGTGTTCAGGCCCGAGTGAACGATCAGGTGGTGGTCTACAGAGACCTGGCAGCTCTGCCCAGAGATAAAGCCATCCTGCAGGTGGAGAGACCGGACCTGATGACCTACCAACCACACCTCAGCTTCTCCTCCCTCGACCAGCCACGCAGAGAGGTACATTCAGACGTTTAATTACTGTGAGCTGTAAATATTCTAAATAAAGATTTAGCTCCTGCTGTTTGTAGATTCTGTGTTTTTCATTCAGCGTGCCGCAGTGTCCGCATGTTCGAGGTGGTTTCAGTCTAAAAGGCTTCACTGTTTCTGCAGTTGCTGCTCTCGGCTTTTGTGGAGCTGAGTTGTTTTATGATTTTGGGTTAATGGGTCTTAATTGTGTTTCTGTGGTTTTGCAGCGATCTCTGTCTCCTCCCCCCACATCTCCTCCCAGATCTCCGGAGGTAAGAGACTGGTTCAGAAAAATGAAAGCATGTTGTTTGTGTAATCAATCTAAACTTCACTGTTCCACCCTATTTCACACCTTTTCATGCAAAAACAAAACGTAAGTTGACCTTGTGAGGTGACATTTTTCTTATGATGCAGCAGTAAAGCCGCTCAATGCAGCTTGACCACTAATGAGGTTGACTCAATAGAGGTCAGTAGATAATATTTTACACAGTAGATGGTGACCCAGTCAAAATCTTCCATGAGTCAGCAGCGGTCACGACAAAAAAACCCAAAACTGATGTCTCCATGTTCTTGACTTTCAACCACTGCTTTGTCTTCCTCCGTGTAAAAAATGTGACATTTAAAGCTTCTGGTTTGTCTGCAGCCTCTGAGAACAGAAAGGGTCTCTGTTGAAGCCGCTGCAGCCGCGGCTCCGGCATGTACTTCAGTGGTCAGTTGTGGTGGATGAAATGTTGTTGTTACTGTATAAAGGCAAAAGGACAGGCCGGAAACTCCGGGTTTATTTTAATTTATCTCAAAGCAGTGTCAAATTCAAGAGCTGTACTTTGCAGAGAGAGGCAGTAGTTTTTGCAGAATGAGCAGTCAGTTGTGAATGTTTCATTTGCTGCAGCACCGCCTGCTTCTACATTTAAAAAAATCCAACTGATGTCATCAGTTCTGCAGGTTTTTGGTCACAAAGCAAAGTGTTGGACACATCAACATGTTAACCTGATGATGGCGCTAGATGGAAAGTCAAAATAATTTCATTTCATCCTGACATGAAGGTCTGAACCACATTTCATCACAATCCGTCCAACAGCTGCTGAGATGTTTCAGTCTGAACCGGAGGACAGAAAGACTCAGTTACTCTCACTACCTTCAAAGCCTCCTCTGTTTTTGTTTTGCAGGTGAGGGGAAATAAAAGCAGAGCAGAAAGTGAGAGTGGGTCCCCTGGAGGATCCACGCTGCAACTGCAGGCTGGACGCAAGATCAGCGGCAGCCAGCAGCATTTCCACAGACCGGGTAACTGAAAAAAACAAACACACACACACACACACACACACACACACACACACACACGTCTAAATTTTTCTCTTTTTCAGATAATGGCGCCAACATCTACAGGAAACCTCCCATCTACAAACAGGGTGAGTTCCTGTTCGTGTAGATCGCTGCGGTTTCTGTGTTTCTCGTCCTTCATGGTCGCTGCTCTCTCCGTCTCTGCAGATGGTAACAAACACGTGGAAGGCGTCATTCAGTCAGCAAAGTTTCCCGCCGCACAGCCTCCAGACCCCAACCAGCCGTCCAAGATAGAGACCGAGTACTGGCCCTGCCCCCCCTCACTGGCCGCCATGGGTAACGCACGCCAACAACACCCAGGCTGCTTCTTTAGACGGGGTTTAACCTGGTCTCCTCAAGTCCACCTGTGGGTTAAACTAAACTAAAACCTGCTGCATCACCGGTTTAACTGAAACCTGGTTTAAGGTCATAAAGTTCAGTACAAGGTCAAATAAATATATTAATTTGTAAAAGTTCAAATCGTTCATCTTGGGTGATCTTAAAAGGACAACACTGTAATAATGTGTAATTACATTTAAAAAGAGTCACATCGACTCCTGACACCAGAAACAGGGTCACTGATTACCTGATACATGCTGATGTATGAACTTCTGCAGCAGCACAAGTCCAGCACCTGCAGCCCAGAGCTCATAACCACAGATTTATACAACAACACTGATGTAAGCTGATATATTTAATAGATTATTGATCCTACAACAGAATGTAAGGAGTTGAAATGGTCAGAATTTGTATCAGACTGATTTATTTTTGGGCAACTAGACCTTAATAATTTAACGGGGGGTGGCTCAGTGGATAAGACACATGCCTTTGGTGTGAGACATCCGGGTTCAGTCCCCCACTGTGACCCACCATTGTGTCCCTGAGCAAGACACTTAACCCCTCGTTGCTCCAGAGGCGTGCGACCTCTGACATGTATAGCAATTGTAAGTCGCTTTGGATAAAACCGTCAGCTAAATGTAATAATAAAACATTAGGCTTGTTACAGGACACAAAAATCTCGGCTTGGTATGTACCTCAAGTTTTGGGGTCCCAGTTTTGAAACACTCAAATACTGGCAATATTGTCAATGAGTACCGCCTGCTGATAACCCCTGAACACCTGCAGCTTGTGCTCATCAGCACGGCTGAGTACGGTTGTGTCTCTGCTGCGATAAACACTCCTATAGCGTTAGTTATTGACCCGAATCTGCTGTGGGGAGTAGGACTGGGTTTGTCTCGTTCCACTCATCGGCACATTATTCACGTGATGCTGTTGTAAATGACGTGTTTGAAGTGTTTCCACAGACATTAGCTGACTGCAGCTGAACAATGTGGGCACACAGTTTGACAGTAACCGTTTCTCTCTGTGACTAACCGGGAAATCGTTGTGCTCCCATACAGTGTCTTGAGATATCAGGAAGGATCCTCCATCTCCGGTCCTCATTTGTGTTTGTCACATCACGAGCTTGGCTCTAACAAATAGGCGACTACAAATACAATAACTGGTGCACTGGAAAAACTTTCTGTGTAAAACTTGTCCTCAGGAAATGTGTAGTCGACCTGAATAGAGTGTTTTTGACAGTAGTTGTTTGGGTCACCTGCTGTACCGAACACGACGTCCTGTACACCTCGTTATAACACACACTGTTCCAGTAGCCTTTTTTCAGTTCTCTCTTCAGGAGTAAAAGTGATATATGGTCTCGTTTTGCCACAGCGATCAGATCCCAGCAGCAAAATCTTAAACCCCTGAAACATTCTGGCTTTGCTGCTAAATCTGAGTAAAGCTAATCAGATGCTAAGTGACACAAAGAGGCAGGCTGGTGTCTGTAGCTGGATCTAACCTTGAGGTTGACCTGTTGCAGAGATCGAGTGGAGGAAGAAGAAGGTCCAGGAGGAGGAAGATGAGTTTGAAGACCTGACAGACGAGGCCAGGACGCTGCAGGAGCAAGAGCTGGAAAAGGTTTGTAGGTAAAACGTCTGGAGCAACACAAACACAGTAATAACAACCAGGAGTAATGACTGACGGGTCCTGTGTTTGTGGGGAATCCAGATCAAGTCCAACCTGGGTCGTCTCATCCTGAAGGAGGAGAAGGAAAAGGCCATTAACTATCGGAGGAAGACACAGTCACTGCCCGACAGAACACACATGCACACCAGTAAGAGCGTCAGCAGCCTCTTCACCTTTTAGTGTCCAGGTTCAGGAGGGATCTGGTCTCAGTGAATCTTTCTTTTGTTTGCCGGCAGGTTTGTTAGCAAATACATCCAAGTCTCCGTCGCGCTCAGGGCCGGGCCTGACCAGAGTAAGTGTTTGTGTGCAGCAGCAGTTTCACATACAGAAGTAATGTGATCATAAATATACAGTATAACCACATTATGAGTCAGAAGGAATGATACAAACTGATCGTTTAGCTTTTAGCAGAATCTCGCCACCTTCATCACGTTTGGCTAAAACGTTACGTCTAAATGTTTTGGGTTCATGAAACTGATGATGGTGACTGAATCCTGCAGGTTTCATGTTGTGCTGTAATCTTTAGGACCTGTGAGCTAAAGCTAACCATCAACTACTAACACGGAAAAATCTATAAACAACCTAACAACTGTCTACAATTACTAACTATCATTTTATGCTTACAGAACAATCTAACTCCTCTGCACTGGCTGCAGACTTGGGAGATGTTGGTTTTCTACCAGTAGAGGGCAGTCTCTATGCATATTTAAAACACAATATGTAGGATTCAAATAATTTGCACTACAATGGGAAAATGAAATTTGCACACCTGAATCTTTCAACAGCACCACTAAATACACAAATACATAAGTTTCCAGCAAAAAAAAAAGTACTTTAGTTACTCTTTAATCACATTACAGAGGAAATGGACAGTTACTTCATGCGTATTGGTTAATGTATTTATAGATATTTTATTATATTGTAGAATATTCTGAACATTTACTGCTGCAGATTATAAAAACAAAGCTTCAAAAATCTGTCAGCCCATCACTATATTTAATTTTATATATTCTAAATATTACATTCATGACACATTTCAGTCATCATCATCTGGCTCTGGACGTCAGTGTCGGACTGACGCTTGTATATATGTTAATACTGGCTGAAGAAAATAAATATAATACATTTAAGTGTAAAGCGAGAAAATAAACAGATGTTGTGTGTTTGTGTGTTTGCAGATGCAGTCTGCAGAGTTTTCCACAGAGGGAGATAAAGGACTGCCAGGTAGGATTTCCTGTTGAGTTTGACAGAGTGACAGAATAACTGCCCAAATAAAGAAAGCATCTTCCTACCTCCTGCTGTAACCTAGTGTGACTTTCAAGGTTAGCATATTATAAGCAGGCGAGATTATCGTGTGAGGTCAGGACAAAACAAAACATACTCCCCATAAAACTTTAGAGGAGATGGTGCTAAGCTAACCGCCTCCTGACTCCAGCAGTCAGGTTTGATCTGGTGTTTTTCTACATTTTTGTTGCTGTCATTAAATCTCATGTTCAGACTCAAACCAGCAGCAGGTCAGTCCGTCTCTCAGTCCCGTCTGACTTCCTGTCTGTGGCTCTCAGCTCTGAGCCCACTGGTTCCTCCTGAAGATTTAAATCTTTACAAATATATAGTTTCATGTATTAAAAGGCTCAGTAGTTTCCTCAAACAGCTGCTCGCTGTAGTTTCTATCAGGAGGAAATAGTGTATTTGTTGGGGACTATTTTCAGCGGCGGATGAATCCACGTGTGGTGCTGCAGTGAGTGTTTGGGACGTCTGTGGGACTGAGTCAGAATAAACTACAGTGTGTTTCATGGTAATGAAGGAACATGTCACCTGGTTTAAAAGCATACAGTGATTTTGGACAGGACTTTAAACTGCAGCACTCTGATCACTTTTATTCCGTGTCCTTCCTGTCGTCACGTCTCTGCAGCTGCTCAGGTAAGCGTGCTGTCTGCTCAGACTGTTTGTGTGGCATGTGCATGATCAGCTGCGTCAGCAGTGTTTAACCTGCCGCCTGTGCTGCGACTGAACAGCTGCAAATCTACGTTAACTCCTCCTGCACTCAGCTTGAGTTTCTGCACAACCCCGATCCACCTGAACGTCTGTCTGCCCTGAAAACAGATGTTTGTGTGCTGCACCGTTACTCCGTCGTCATGCTATACGTCATTCTAACACTCTGCTTACTTCTGGCTTTGCATTGCTGTTTCGCAGATTTTAGATGTATTTATTATATTATATTTAGATATATACGTATCTTTCATTCTGTGTGTGCAGAACGGAGAGTCTCGGAGGGAGAGGATGGACAGAGGGAACTCTCTGCCCAGCATCCTGGAGCAGAAGGTGAGTCCAGACACGCTGTTCACAAGTCAAAGCAAACACTAGGTCCAGGACGTGGTTAGCCTAGCTTAGCACAATGACTGGAAGCAGAGGGAAACTGTTAGCTTAGCTGCATTAAAAAAAGAGAACTGCTGTATTTGCCTTAAAACAACACACACGCTGTGGTAAATAAATTGAATTGAAGAGGAATAAAGATTAAGGATGTAGCGACTTGGAAATGCAGGGATGTAAAAGCCAAACTTGAGGTGAATTAAAAATTCTACATGTGGTTAAATAAAAAGTATAATTTGTCTAAAAGTAAGAGATGACTGTGTACAGATGAGATTTACTGTAAATACAAATTAAAAATAGAAGAACCAGAGGGGCGACTGAAGGTGAACGAATCTGGAAATATGGAAAACAAAAGTCGTTTCATTCTGTACTTTGGATATATTTTTACATTTTACAACAGTTCATGTCGTAAATTATTATGATGATAGATGGAGCTTTAATTGAATCCTCTTGTAAATGTTGTAATTATATTTCTAAAGCACTGAGTAGGAGGAGAAAAATAAAATAATAATAAATAAATACTTTACTTTATGTGGATTACTGTTGATGAATCAGACATGTTCATGTAGAAGATGTTTGTTTATATTTGGATATTATATTTATTACTTTATTCCATGTGAGTTGGAGATCGACTGTGACATGTTTGTAGGATTTGATTATATTTGAATTGTGTTCTTAGATGCTGGTGAGATTATACTGTATATGTGACCGTTGACACTGTTGAATAATACATCTCAATAATTCAACACAAAAACAGAACTATTGATCCATGTTATTTTATATATTTGTGGGGCCACAGTTTTTGGTATTGTAGCACTGGATTGCAGCATATTAACTATTGTATTCAGACAGAATCATTGTGTGCTGGGTGTGTGAAGCATTATATTAATAAAGAAAATGGCAATATGAGAATACTCGCCGATAAAATTTGTTGTTTAAATGTTTAAATATTTGTGTTTCTTTCTGTCTGCTGCTCAGATTTATCCCTATGAAGCGCTGATTGTGACCCACAGAGGGCGCTGTAAGCTGCCTCCAGGAGTCGACCGCACTCGGCTGGAGGTGTGTATCTCAGGCGGCGGTGGTGTGTTTGATCAGTCTGCATGTTCTCACCCTGAACACGACGGCAGCTGCTGATGTGAAGCTTCCAGAGGATCTGCATGGAGAACGACTCACAGCTCCTCATCATCTAAATTCTCATTTTAGTAGAGCAGCAAAAGCTTTTTAGAAACTTTGTTAACTTCAGTCTGTGTTGATATTTATTAGAGCCGCAGGAGGTCCGACTGAGACGATCTGTCATAACAAACGTATTCAGAGAAAACAGGAAGATGAAGCTTTAAGCAGAGACGACTCACAGAGATGATCTTTGTTAACGACACGAACACTAATCTGTCGTATTTTCACATACTGGTGTTGAATTGACTCATAGGTACCAAAAGTTTTGAATCTGTGCAGTAGATGCTTCAGCCAGCAGCTGAACTGTAGTCCTTTGTTTTTAACATGAAGCCTCGCTCGAGGACAACTCTCACTCTGAAATCTCGTGAGAGTTGTTGCAAGAAGACGCCGGCGGAAACGTGAGTCAGAGTTGGAGGAGTTTGTTGTGTTGGAGTAACGTCGGGGAATAAAGTCTTCCTAGCAGCTCCTTTATGTAAATAAACTCCTCTCCCTCGTTTCCACCGGCATCTTCCTGCAACAACTCACCTCTCTCAAGATTTCAGAGCGAGAACTGTCCTTAAGCCAGACTTCAGTTTCGCTGAAGCATCTACTGCAAGGTTCTAAACTTTTTGTGCCTAATTGTCATTTCCACAGCAACAAATGTGAGAATAGAGGATTAAAAATACAGAAATTCACCCTTTAGAGTTGTGTCAGTGTGAACCAGCAGTTTATACTCACACACAGCTAATGAGCTGAGACTCCTCTGATTTGGACTCTCTGTCCATTCAGAGATCAGCTGTCAGGCTTGTTGTTGGTCAACGGGCCAAACTGTGTGTCGAAGTTAAAGTTGAATTAGGTGCAAAACTAATGTGGATTTACCCCCCAGTGAAGCCAGTCATTCCTGAGAGTCAAATTAAATCCATTTGATATGTTGGTGTGACTTGAGACCCCTCCACAGTCAGAACTTACGACAGTGACATCTCTGTCCTGGTTTAGACGACTTCAGCAACTCTCGCTTTAGTCCTAATTCTATTCCAGGACGACTCTGAGTTGTTTGATAATCTGGATCCTGATCTGACTTCTTCTTCTTCTTCTCCTCCTCTCAGAGGCATCTGGCTCCGGAGGAGTTTGAGCAGCTGTTCGGGATGCCGATTGCCGAGTTCGACCGCCTCTCTTTGTGGAAAAGAAATGAACTGAAGAAGAAAGTCTCACTTTTCTAACAGGAAGTGACATCGTTGCCCTCAAATACTTGATGAACCCCTTTGCTTCGCTTCGACAGGAGGAGGCGGAGATACAGATTCATCACGTTAGTCCACGCAAACATGTCCTCCATCTAACTAACCAATCACGGCCCCCCCTGGATCAGGGTTTACTGAAGGCTGGCCCTGATTAACCCTTCACTCTGACTAACCGACACTCAGACATATTTCCTGTGCTGCACTTATAATCACCACCGCTTGCAAATCATCCTCATTATGTGTCCACTAATATCAACCATCATCATCTAGTTTGTCTCACTGAGCTCCAGAGGTCTGAATCAGGTTAGCAGGTCTCTTCTGGTGTCATGAAGCTGGTTCACCACGATAACCTGTGATGCAGAGCGAACACACTTAACGACTGACCAATCAGATCACTGGAAAATGAAGGCTCGTCACAGAGAAACAGACAGGAAGAGCTCGACTTGCAGCTAACGTGCGTGCGGTTGTTTCATTTGACTGTCTGGGGAGAAAAGCGGTCAATCCGGCGGTTTTGCTTTGCTCCCCGCCTTCACAGGACTTTCACACCACAGACAGGCTGTTCAAGCTACACTGACTTCCAGTCAAACTGAACTTTGACCCCAGATATTCTGACCTCACAAACACGTGTCTGGTTTTTAAGAGCGAGGGCAGAAGTTTTTTTTATGGATCCCTGAATTCGCGGTGCGTGATGGATACACTGCGGCGAGTCGACCACCGCGTCCCGCTGCTTTGAGCTAAATGCTAACATGTTCACAGTGACGGTGCTGATGTTTAGCAGGTGTGATGTTCACCATGTTGGCGTGTTAGCATGCTCACATCAGCTGATAAGCAGTAAACATATCATACAGCTGAGGCTGATGGGAATGTCATCAGGTCTGCAGGTATTTGGTCTGTTTCCACCTTTAACTTGGACGTCCTCGTGTTTCTGCACCTCCTGCTTCCGATTTTATTGTTTATATTTCCAGGAGCTGAAACTCTTTTTTTTTTTTTTTTCCCCTCACATCATATTCGAAACTTCCCTCACAGTTCTGACGAGGCTGCACGTGTTTGGCTGTAATTAATATCTTTGGTTCAACGTTAACGGGACCAATGGGAAACCAGCTTCATGACACCAGTTGTCAGGATCACCAAACAGAAACAGACTTCCTGATCCAGACCTCTGCTCCAGTTTCTGCTTCAACTTGAACGACAGCGGATCCATGTGAGGAGCTTCTGTCGCGCATTAAACATGTAACTGATTGTAATATTTATTACGTGGAACCTTTTATTTATTTGATGATTGTAATTTTTTGCCACACATTTCTTTGCTACTGTGAACTCTTATTTTGAAAACATTTTTGCTGTACAGTTGTTTTGTTTTTTTAACGAGCACCCACACTGATGACTTCCGGTCTTTAACATTTCACCACATACCTGATGTTCTAGCAGCAGTTTGTACTAATCAACATCATCTATACTGGACCGCGTCTCTCTGCCGCCGTCTTCACGCTCAGTGTCCGTCTTCATGCTTTCTTCTGGTTACACCTCCGCACCATCCAGTCCTCATTGTTTCTGTCGTACGATGTTAAATAAATCGAGAAAAAAGATCACGTTCAAAGGGTTCGTTCTTGTCTCCTTCACACCCTGAAACATCTGTAAAATGATTTGTTCTATAGTTATTTAAAATGACCAAATCACACATGAAACATGTTAGTTTTTACCAAATATTACACCAAACAGCCAGAAACAGACAAATTTTTTTACGCTACCAATGGATCAAATGACTGTTAACATGTTACCGTCAGTGGTGGAAGAAGTAATGAGATCCTTCAGCAGAAATACTGTTACTAGTAAATATTCCTGCAGTCTGTGAGTGTAATCAGTGCTTAAAGGAGACCTATTATGCTTTTCCACATTTTATGACTTATTTACAATGTTATAATGTTGGATGTTCATTTTAAACATGGCCAAAAACTTCAAAAAATGAGGTTAAAGCATTTTTAAGAAATCCCTGTGAGCAATAACCTCGGGTTTCTTCCTGTTCTGAACGCTCCGTTTTTAACAGCTTTTTCTACAAACGGCTCCGTTCTACGACACACGGAGTCAGAGCTCCATATATGGTCATTTGCTCCCATAGCAACAGCACAGCAACGCTCATTTCTGCCTGGACTGTTCAGCGACAACAACGGCCTGGTAACATGCTTCAGGTCTGGCCAATCAAAAGAGACATGAGCAGCGACAGCTTGTTTCAGACAGAGGCTGAAATGAAGGCCTGCATGAAGAGTCAGTATAAGATAGAAAGAAATTTTTTGGATCTTTGAATCATGCAAAGCTGCCATACGGGAGTCACAGAACTACAATATAGGACTGGAAAAGCAGTTTAATAGGTCTCCTTTAAAGGTTCAGTGTGTAGGTTTTAGTGGCATCTAGTGGCGAGAGTTTTGAATTGCATCCAGCAGCTCACTCCCCCCTCGCAGGCTCGCAGGAGAAGCTACAGTGGCGCTCTGTCGACTCTGAGCTAAATAATACGTGTGGTCCTCCATTTGTGCAAATTTATCTTCTCAACTCACATTTAATAAACCAGACGTCTTCTTCTTCTTCCGTATTCAACTTAGTGATTAAACACTCTGTAGAGCAGTTTGTCCATTTGGGCTACTGTAGAAACATGGCGGTGCAACATGGGGACGTCCATGTATGTAGATATAAATGTCTCATTCTAAGGTAATAAAAACAAAACGGTTCATTATGTGAGGTCTTTATACACCACTGAAAACAGAGTTATGGATCTTATGTTGCATTTCTGTCAATAGATTCTCAGAAATATTACACACTGAACCTTTAAAGTATTTAGGCAGTAACATGTTGGACTATTATATTCATCAGATTATTATTTCTCTGAACTGTTTAGTATCAGACTGCAGCTGATGATTCTTTTCATTCTGGATCAATCTGCTGATTATTTCCTCCATGAAACCATCGTTTGGTTTGTAAAGATTGTGCAGTCACAGTTAGGCAGAGCCCAAAGTGACTCCTTCACACTGCTTATTGTGTCCAAAGCTCGACGTTATCTACAAACATTACAGTTATTACAATTATTCAGAGAAGCAGCAAATCTTCACGAGAGAAGCTGAAACAGATGTTTTATAGGAAGACTTAATCTTTAGTTCAATCAAATAATTAGTTCACCGCAGATTTCCTGCCATGAAAGAGTTTTGCCTTTCAAACGACCACAGTGAAAGCAGCTTATTTATTTCCACCTGCTTGTTAAAGATCGCGGTCTCTGAAGACCGTTATTAAACGTTATTAATTGATGTTTGGGACATTACAGTGTTAAAAACAAGCTCTCTGGCCTTTTCAACATGAATTATTGACCCTTCCTGTTATCAGCTGAATTTAAAAACAGTTATGAATCTTTGTGACGGAAATAATTTGTATTTATTATAAATTTTTCTCGTAACATTAAACACGGTGATGTTTAATAATATCTGCAGTTGCATTAAGGAGATTTAAAACCAATCAGTGCTGGACCTAAATATACCTTCATGTATCATCAGTGTTAATTTGACACCTCATGTTTTATTTGTTCACTCTTGTTCCTCATTTGTTACTACATACACCCCCCCTCCCTCCCTCTGTGCAGTAGTGAGAGATTGTGCAGCGCTGTGACTGTGTGTTGTGTTCAAACACCCCCGCTGCTGCATTATTATTATTATCATAAACCTTTTCTGTGTCGCTGCTACTTCAGTGAACTGCAGGTAATCCTGTGGAGGGTTTGTGTTGCTAAGAAACATATGGGCCTACACAGAAGAGCGAGGAGCTGGCCATGTTTCAATGCCACTCGTCTCTCCGCCGGACAAAGCGACACCTCCCACGCTGGCCTTTTGATTGGCAGCCGCACGGCGACGCGTCCTTCAGCAGCAGCATTCAACAGACACACAGGCAGCGTTAACGTTTCTGTTTTTTTATTTGAATGGAGTGAAACATCTACATAAATGAGAGGCCTCGCAGTACATGTACGACAAAAAAAAAAATTCTCTTTTCTTTTTTTTTTCAAATTCAGCTGTAAAGAAAAAAAAAAATCATGATTCAATCTTTTAAACGGTTTCTGTACATTCTGTGAGATATGTTCTGAGACATGAACAGAAGTCAGAAATGAGGCCTCGTCCTCCCCCGACAACATCCCATTATACTTTACCCCCCCCCCGAAAAATAAAGAACAAAACAGTCCGATCAAACCCAACCAGGTCTGAGTCAACACTGTCGTCAACACACCTCTGCCCCCCCGCTTCTCTCTGTAAAGGATCTTTCCGGTTCGTTAAAACTCGGGTCTCGTTTGTAGTTTCATCCGTCAGTGACAGAAAAACTAAACTCGCTAAATTCATTTCTGAGATCTGAGAAATCAAACAGGCTGGAGTCAGTTTATCTAGATTATCTAAAAAGGTCACGAGATGAACGGAGAGGCGTTTACTTGTAGTTCGTTCGAGTCGGTAAACTTGTGTTTTGGTGGGAACGAACCACAATGTCTCAGTAAAAGCCGAGAGAGATCGGGAGTTTGACAGAAGTGGCTTTTCTCCCGGGCTGGGAGGCTGTAATGAAACATGCTGTCCAATTGCATCATGGGAAATGTAGGCTCCACCCCCCCCACCCACCCAACACCCTTAATACTAGAAATTAGCACACCTCCACCTCATATTAACTAGCTGTTTCTGGAGCTTTTAACCATCAGCCTTGACAACTCGTCGTCATCAAGCAGCTGAAAAGTCAGTAAGTGGACCTTGAGTGAAGCTCTTGCCGTCAAACTGACATTTCCAATCTTAATTCTGAACATTAACGCTCGAGCCCCGAGTTGTAATTAAGCAGAATACTCTTACCCTCCACCTTCCTGCTCCCCTCCCTCCCTCCCTCGTTCTCCCCCACTCTGGATAATTAAGCCTAAATCTATGTGTTGTAAAAAAACAAAAAAACCATCACATTGAAAAGAGGGAACAATTAAAATATACATACAGTATATAATATAAATGTCAACACTTGCTCCTCAGAGCTCAGTCACACTATCATTGGCATAAGAAAGGATGGACTTTATGCAATCGTTTCTGTGTGTGCGCGGAGACGGCGTTCGAATGAGCGTCACTTCCTCCCCCCGCCAAAATAAAAACGCTGAACACCCGAACACCAGCCTCCTGGTTACAAAATGGATTCGACTGGGCACTGATTGCCTTTAGCAAGTCCACGTACGGCTGAGATTTTATCCTGTTCAGTCTTAAACTATGATATTTAATAGATGATAAAATAAATTAAGCGTGGTGAGAGTCGCTTCTTCTCCTGCTCTTAAACGGAGAATAGAGGGGGGGCGGGGAGGAAGCAAGGGAGGAGGAGGGAGGAAGGAGAGGAAGAAGGAGGGAGATAAGAGGAGGGAGAGCGGGGGGAGGATCTAGGCCTGCGCGTTGGTGCCGTTCTTGTCCGGAGGTCCGGGGCTGGCCGGCAGGTTGTTGAGGGAGGGGGCGGCCTCCTGGGGCTTGCTGTCGCGGCGGGGGGGCATCCTCTCGTTGATGCGGTCCAGACCTCGGGCCTCCTCGAAGCTCTGGATCTTGTGCTGCGGGTTGAAGCCTTGAATGGCTGCGAGGAAACAAGACGTATATGAGCGAGGAGCCTCCAGAGAGCAGCAGAGGCACAAACTCTGATCTACCTGCAACTGTTCTGACTCTACAAATAAACATTTATAAATGGATCTGAATAACTGATTTATTACATCAGCGTGACTTTATTTTAATAAACAGGTTGTTTTCTTAGACTGACCACTCGTATATCTGAAACTAAAGGACAGGTTGGTGCTCGAGTGTTACGACTAGAACGTCTCTTCACCAGCTGGATCTGGCACTAGGCGAGGACGGACCGGTTTCCTCTTTGGTGCTCTAAAGTCAAAACCAATAACAAAGTATTTTAAACCTCTCTTAAATGGTTATTTCAGCATTTTGAAACCTGTTCACATGTTTTGTGTTGAAATGACTCGTAGCTACACAAAGTTTTGAATCGGTAGAGTAGATGTTTCAGCCCTGAGGCTGAAGCGGCTGCTACGTATTCCTTCAGGGTAAGTTATTATAATTAAAGAAAATTCATTTACTGAAATAAAAAGGCCAAAACTAAAATTATAAAGTAATTGTCTTTAGTTTTCGTCTTTGTCGATTTATTTCATAGTTCCTACATCAGCCTGGTATTTTGGGTGGAAATGAGATCTTCCAGTTTCTTAGCTGTGCCAGTTGTTAGTCTGCACCCCTCGCCTGGCATCATGGCGGGAGACGGCGGCAGAGTACTAAAGACTTAAACACTGAAACTAACAAAATCTAAAGTAGAGTCAAATAACGTCCATAAAAAGTGCTTCTTGTTGTCTGACATCATGTGACGGATCCCTACGAGGGCCTCCTGGTGACCCCCTTTGTTTTTAACAGGAAACTGAAGTCTCGCTGGCAGCTCCTCTACGTACACAACAAACTCGTTTCCACCGGCGTCACTCGCAGGGTGACTGAAGCATCTACTGCACATACTCCAAACTGTCATTTCAACACCAACATGAGTGAAAATAAGGCCCAGGTTTGAAAATAGAGACTTGTGTGTTTCATAAACACCCTCTTTTAATGTCTGACCCTGCTGCACACAGGTCTTAATGGTACATGAGTACTGGGAGCACTGGGAGCACTGGTTAAAGCAGGAGGGAAAACTTACTTCAAAACAGGACACGGACAGCATGAAGACAAAGAAACAGACTTTCATTAAAAGGACAAAGTCACTGTTGTTATAAAAACCCTTGTCGCCTGTCCTCACTGATATAAATGGGGTGGACAGAATAATAGATACAATGAGTGTCCACAGGAGTAATCTGCCTACAGCTACATCATAGTGTTATAAACATTTCTTAAAAGTTTATCTACAGCCTTTAAATGCTAAAGAGAGGAATATTAAAGTGTTTTTCTTAAAAGTACACATGAGCCTCTGCTTGTTGTTGCTTGAGGCCTGAGACACACGATATCAGCTTCCTCCACTAAAGCTAAAACGATGTTACAACTAATCAAAATGAAATAGAAGCTGTGGTTCAAGCTGGAAAATAAACATTCACCTCTCCCTGCAGGACTCAGGTTAAAGACTTAAACAGCATCACACATCATCACATAGTTAAAACATGACACAGACAGACGGACGGACGGACGGGGTTGCATACCTCGTGCCTCTTCTGCCTCTACGGTGGCTGTGTAAGCGTGAGTAGAAGTGCCATGCCCAAAACCAATGGAGAGAGAGTGGGAACGTTATATATCAATGCATTCAGTCAGTCACGTTATCACAGCAATCAGTCAGTCCTGTTAACACGTAGGAACATCATACAACCCCCCCCACCCACATGGCAGTGACCACAGTCAGGTTAGAACAGCCTGTATAATAATAATAATAAATATAATAACAACAATAATAACAACAACAATCAGGATTTGTTAGAGAGATAAAATGTGAGTTTTAATTATGTTGCCCTAAAAAGCTAAATTACAGATTTTATTAAAAATTAATTGAGGTTCAATGTTTGAGAGAGATGTTCTGACGTGGTTAGCTAGCTAGCTTAGCATAAAGACTGGACGCAGGGGGAAACTGCTAGCCTAGCTCTGTTAGATGTTCAAGATGACCCCTGCCAACACCTCTAAAACCGAGAGCACCGTGTTTCAACCACTAAGTGTTGTGACTCATTTCAGAATCGGGCTGAAATCCCGCACATCAGGTTGCTGTTCAGTTTGAGGTCCTGATGTCGGCTTAATCACCTGAGCGGTCGACGAGCTGGATGATCCGCTGGGTGTCTGACAGGGACGTTTATGTTACAAGTTTTGGAAACAAACATTTGTCGTTGTTTGATCCACAGCGCTACTACAGGTCTTTGAATTGCCAGAGCAGTTGTTAGGATTTGAGATTAATCTGCCGATACTCGCGCGATAAACAGCAAATGTCTCACTAGGACACTTCTGCTGGCAGCCTCCTCAGTGAGCTGCTGGTGAACGATGTTAGCGCTCTCCCTTGTGAGTTTTAGGAAAGTGTTGAAAGGGTTAACACAAGGGTCACCGTGGTCTTTTCTAAATCTCAAACGTTTTCATAGGAGTCTGCTGGGAGAAAAGGAAGTGAGGAAGCTGGACTACCTGATCACAAGTTAGCAGAGCTTCGACTGAGCCAAACTCCATTCAGAAAATAAGCATTTTAAAAGTTGTTTGCGTGTCATCTTGCAGACAGACCCAACAAAGCATGAAATCATTTGTTCCACAAATCAGCCTCATGATATCGTTATTCCGGCGTCTTTTTTATCAGTTTATTGCAGATGAAGGTTGAATATTTGCAGGTTTACTCGCGTTACTTTTGATGTCTTCTCTCTCTAAACGTCGGACACTGATAAACACACATCGGTCAACGACTAAGAATGAGGTTTCAGCTTCTTTAGGACTTGGTGTCATTAAATAGTTAATAGTCTTTCTTATTACACAAAGCAGAAACACTGTTTGTGTTTAAAGGGCAGATCTCTCTGAGCAGACGGTCCTTCAGAGGAGGAGAGGACGCCACTTGACATTTCCCTTTCACCGTGTGTCTCTGAGCGGTTAGTCTCTCATGTGAGTGCAGGCGCAGGGCGTTAGTGTCAGCTGGACTCCGTGTTAGCGTTTTGGTGGGATGCTCGGCTGCGTTCACACTCACCGCTTTGCAGAGTTCGCCGCCCTCCGGACAGAACTCCCACGGGCAGCGTTCCTGTCGGGGTCAGGCCCTTCAGCTGCAGCACGCTCTCGTTCTCCTCTCTGTCAACACACATACACAAACCACGTCAGGGAGATCAATGACCTCAAGATCAACAGCGGTGCAAGGAGGCCTCGTGTTTTAGCCTTTGGCACAGCTGCTCAAGAGCTTTTATTGATAAACTTAGAGCGTCAGATGTTTTATAATCTGTTTAACCACATATTTTATCATGTTTCACAAGGATGAATCAGCACACAGCTGCTTTGTAACTCCTACACGCTCTGCAACATCATACAGAAACATAATGCACGTTCTTTATAGCTGATAAGCGTTTCTATCTTCCTTTTCTCTCTTGATGATCTCAGACTTCAGATGTTTTTACAGCTGAATAAAGAGAAGACATATTTATAAGATATATTTGTAGTAGAGTCTAAAACCAGAGGCATGAGATGTCTTCACGTATTATGAAATACAGTCAGGAACCTCGAGTAAAGCAGAGTTTAAAACCTCTGTGCGAAGTTGTTTTTCATAATTACATTACGACCTCAATCATTTTAGCTTTCCTCGATATCATCTGTTGTGTTTACATGAGAACATTTTAGCATCCTCACCAACATCATGCCAGAATAAAGAGCAGGATTTTGTGGGGGGCACAGCGCATATGCAGCATGTTTTCAGCAATTAAGAGCCTGAAAGTCCTTTTTATTCTTTGTTTTGGTTTTGTGGTTTTATTTTATACATTAATTTATGATATTTAAAAAAGATGTCTGAATATTCTTAGGAATAAAAAGTTCCTTTCTCTTTGGACTGTCGTCACATCAATGGTCTTAAAATGACAATAATGACCAAAAGTAGTCATTTTTGAGTCTATATGACACATGAGGTCGGGCTGTCTCCCTCATATATCACACTTACTCACTAATATCACGTTATCAGGTGCTGCTTTCAGAACCGGTCCTGCTCTCTGAATCAAACCCTCGTGACCTGAGACCTGTGTCCAATATTTAACAGAGAAAAGTGAAAACATTTCTGCTTTCTCTGGCTTCTGGTTAGCTGCTATTCGTGTGTGTGTGGTTTGTATGTGCGAGCAGCGTGTGGGTTCTTAGCTGTTTTCAGGTGTGTGGGTGGCCTTTTGAATTTATTATATTCCTTTGTTACGTGCTGCTGTACGCACTTCCATAAAGAGGACACTGAGCTCACTTGTAATGAATTAATGCTCAGAACAAAATGTCCTCATCTGCTGAGAGAAGACATTTAAAATTTAAACTAGCGTTCCAGTGCAGCCGGCGGCCGACAGCATTTACCCAAGTACTGTACTAAAGAACAGTTCTGAGGTACTTTATATTATATATGTATATTTATCTTTTGCAGATTCAGATTATTAATTCAAAATATAAAATCAACTGATAAAATGTGATGTATTATTGTAGATTTAGTCGCCCTGCAGTTTTTAAAGTAGCTGCAATGAGCTCCACGTGTACCAGCTGCAGCACTAAAGTGATGGACAAATGAATGAATCTATAATTATCCAGTCATTTATTATCATTTAATGTATATTATAAATGTAGCATCCTGCATTGTGAGAACCTTTAGTATTTTACCTTTAAATGCAGGATTTGTACTTGTAACAGAGTACTTTTACACTGTTGTACTGCTACTTTTACTTAATTAAAAGATCTGAGTACGTCTTCCACCTCTGAATATAAATCTAATCCTGTGTTTATGAAGCGAGGGTGGAGCACGCCGAGGACAGTAACCACCTAACAAAAGCAGAAGCGATAAACAGCCTGCTGCTCCCACGCAGCGATAGTGATTACTAACTCACTAGTAATAACTAAAAGTGAGAGGAGAACTTTAGATAACGTGTCTGTGGTGCTTTTCTGGGCCTTCTGATAAAGGACAAATTATTGTGACACACTTCCACAGGATTAAAGAGGACACGTGTAAATCAAGGAGAAGTCATTAGCCTTGTACTAAAGTGGAGCACGACTGGAAACAGGACGGAGCCGCAGTTACTCCTCGACGCAGGATTTTCTGTCCAATAACCTCATTTATTGAAGGAAAGCAGCGTCCGTTCAAACGTCACCATTCGTTCCAGGAAGTGCTCAAAAAGGGCAAAGTGACCCTCCTTCAATCTTTATTTTCCTGTAAAATTGTGAGAGAAACAGAACCAACCTGAGCACAGAGAAGACACGAGCCATCTTTCCGATCGCCCGGATCTTATTTCTGATCACCTCCTTCCTGACAGCCGGAGTTCCACCTAAAGAACAAAATGAAAATTACAATCAGAGCTGCACATGCGTTTCTCTCCGGAGACGCAGCTGGTTGTGTTTAATAACTGAAGCTTTGTTTTGCCACACAGACTCAAATGTGGAGAGTCGCGACTACATGGAGCACGCAAGGTTTTATCTTTATTAATAACGTATGCAAACAATAACCGTAATAATAAATGGTGTTAGTTCTCTTGAATTAATACAAACTAGTAATGTGTGTCCAAATAACACGAATGACTAGTGACAAGTACATCCAACTTAGTACCAATGTGTACATGAGTTATTGATTTAAGAGCACAAATTAAAAATCTATTTTTTTGTCTTCTCACATTACATTTGTCCTTGTCCCTGCACCACCGGACGCCGTTTCCACACCGTGCAGCCGAACGCAGAGCAACATAATCAGTGGAAGTCAGCAGCTCGATCCATAATTACACTTAATATGAACACTTTAAGGTTTGTTCACAGAATGACTGTTTAACTACAGGTTGTGTTCAGGTACACACGGTATAATTAAAATGTTACAAATAATGAAGTGTTCTAGCAGAAAATAAGTCATTTGTGTGCAAATTTGAGAGCATGAGCAATTTGTTTTTTGTGTCTCCATGACAACCGCAAGGCTCCAAAAGACTGGATCAGTTTGATACGATTAAACATGTTCAGCATTTATTTAACAGTCGTTTTGTTCCAACCAGAACACAAAGCGATAAGTCAGATCCATCTCCTAAATATCTGGAAGAGACATGAGGCGAGTTATTATCTTATCCCTACTGTCTTACGGCTGCAGAACCATTGAGCTACAACTAAGAGCTGGACTGGTGAAGAGGAGGAGGAGGAGCAGGAGGAGGAGGAGGATGTGGGCTGCTGCATAACCAAGGTGGGCTGATGCTAAAGCTGCCCACGGAGCGAACCTCTGCTCCTAATGGACCGTCTATAGTTTGGTGTCTTATGCATTTGCTAATTCACCTCAGCTCAGTAAGAATCTCACTGAAACACTGGTGTAGTGTACTGACAGGAAAGAGGCGGAGGACTCAGTTGAAGAAAGCCGTCTCTGTGCCGCCGCAGGAGAGTCCAGCCGGTGCGCAGAGCTCTGTAGCTCTGCGGACAGCAGAGAATAACCTAGCAACAGACTGCAGAGGCTCAGCTGTGGCACTCGGCCACGCTCTGTGGATAAACACTGCACCGCGTTGGCATTGGCTCACAGCAGCGACTGCTGGGGGACACGTGATTGGCCAAAGATTCAACCATCACGCCAACACACAGAACACCACGCTTCAGCTTCCTTCAGGGTTTCAGTTCCTCCTGAAGCTGCACTGGGTCTGATTAATTATATTCAGTGACACAACGATGGCTGACTGCTCACTGAGTATTCTGACCAACACGAACCTCCGTAAAGCCGCGCCAGAAACTAATAAACCCATCAGAGCCTCGTGTTCCTTCACCGTGAACACACTGTAGTTTATTCTGACTCAGGCCAACATACACCGTCCTGCTGCCACAAAGACTCACTGGAGCATCACATGTGTTTGTCTCCCGGTTAATTACAGGATCCACTTTAAACTTAAACCTGGCCCAGCCCTACCTCTCCGGACCTCCTGCGCCACACCTCCGCGGACGCAACACTAAAACCCATCAGGAGAAAGCGCCGGACCTGGGTCGACAGGGCCTTTACCTTAGCTGCACCCTCCCTCGCCACATCTGACAGGCTAACACCGCGCCACCTTTCAAACAGGCCCGCAGAAACCCACTTTTTAAAGACTGCATTCCCAGTTAACTTCTTTTACCTCTCTTCCTGCTGAATAAAAATGATTTCTTATTATTGATTGACAGAAACTACAGCGGGCAGCTGGGAGAGGAAATGAAACTTTAACATGAAACTAAATATCTGAGGAGTTTTAAAGTCCTCAGGAGGAACCAATGGGCTCGGAGCGGAGAGCCACAGACAGGAAGTCAGACAGGTCTGAGAGACGGACTGACCTGCTGCAGGTTTGAGTCTGAACATGAGATTTGTTGACACAGTTTCTGAATCAGCTTCGTGGTCATGCAGCTGCAAGCAGGGACCATTTTAAAACTCTCTTTTAGTGGTGCGTTCAAGGACAATCTGACAATTGAGAGTTATGAGCTACTTTATCAGTAAAAACTGTACGGTCAGTTTGCTGTTCAGCAGGTAACTCTCCAGCCTCACATGTCCAACAACTAGAGCAGCTTTCATAACTCACACCTGCTCAGCCACATGACCAACAACTAGACACGAAGGTGACAAACTGCTCTCTGAGGAGGATTAACAGATCTCAGCAGGCTGATCTGCAAACTGCACCAGAAACTAGTGGAAACTACCGACTCAAAAACAGCCTGTGGTTGAAATATCTGAGAGGTCAAACGTGGTTACTAACAGTTTTTTTAAAAATGAGAACAGCCGGGTGCGATGATGGGAGAAGGCGTTACATCCTCTTACCCTCACATGTGTCGTCCCCTTCTGACATCAGCTCGTCATCAGAGCAGATGTTCAACACGTTCACCAGCATCTCTGTCACTGTGTGAAAACAAGCACAGTCACCAACACATCAAGATGCAGACAAACACACAATAAAGGGTTCGTGCCAAGGCTGAGACTGATGATTATTTTCTCTGCAGACGAATCTGCATGTTCTTTTATCAATTACCTGATTAACAGGTTACTTTAAAAAACACCTTTCACAACTGCTCAGAGCCGACAGCGAGGCCTTCAGACTGTCCAAAATCTCAAGACATTTGATTTAATGTCATAAATGACAAATAAAATCAGCAAATATTCACATTTAATAAGCTGGAAACAGAGAATATTTGGCCAATTACTCAGTTCTGTTGCACTAATCGATTAATCGTTGCAGCTCTAGTGTTACGTGACTGCTGCTCTCGTTTCAGACTGAAAGCTCTATTCACACACCGCATGGAGGCTTTTATTGTGAAATAGCTACAGGAAATGAGTTATAGAAGATTCTCACCTAAAGGCCAGTGTTCAAATAATGACTGAGGGCCGGCACAAACAAATAAAGGCTGTCGGTGAGATCACCTGCAGCCAATCAGCAGCTCTCACACGGTGAACTCAGTGTGATGGACATCATCACGTCGTCCTCACCAACATAATATTCGTTTCATCCACATTAATTACAGTTTTTTACAGACTTCCCTGCAGATTTTTAAATTATAAAAATCCTTCCAGTAACGAAAAAAGTTTATACTTTAAAAGTAGGGTTGGGTATCAATTTTATCGATTCTGGTTCCTTCACCACAGATCTTTTCAGCGCTCGGTGATCTTCATCCTCTTCCTCCTCTCTCATCTCTAAAGTGAAAGGAGTCTCTGTCCTAGAGGGGGTATCTCTGGGGACTCGTGTCATTCGTAGCCATCACTGGTTTCCCTTCAGTATAAAAAGGTGAATGTCACCTTTAACGATACCCAACCCTGCTTAAAGGTGACATGTCTGCGGGAAGCGTTGTGTTCACAATCAGGAAAAACAGAAGAGACTGGAATTAATTAGTGAATGAAAGTATTTATTCAGGATGTTAACACCTCTGTGGCCTCAGTTAAAAATCAATATGATGAATATTAATAATCAATGTGTGCCCCTAAATTTCTAAAACGTATAAAAGTCAGCATGGAGCTCTGCGGTCTCAGTCTTTGCCTGACAAAAGAACTGAATGGTTTCTGGCTCAAAGTGTCGTCTCTGAATCAGGAAACAGTCGAACCTAATTATGTGACACAATTATAACGGGAGCCGAGAACTCCTCCGACACTGCAGCTATGTCACACGATCCACGAACTCCCATCTGTGTCACAGGAAAGATTTAAATTGAGATAGGCGGGTAAGTTAGTCACCGGGTCTCTCGGTCCTCAGCAGCTCACGGTCGAACGTGATCCCAACGCGCAGCCGCTCACAGAAACTGGACTAAACCTTGTTTAAAAAGGTTCAGTTTTATAGATTATAATCTTAATTTATATTTTCAACATGTAAGAGGTTCTACAGGATCTGATGGACAGATTTCTTGGATTAAGAAAGGAAAGATACGGCCAAAAATGTTACCAGGATAAAAAGTTTCAACTCTTTCGATATCAATAATTATCACGATAAGCATCAAATCGTTATTTCTCTCGAGTTTAAAGGCTGATTTTTGCTCCTGAGTGAAAGCTGAAGAAACCTGATTCTTTACGGTCAGAACAAACACTTAGGTAGAATATTCAAAACAATTATGATCTTTGACAACAAATATTCCCAAGTAAAATTAAGTAAAAGTTTTTTTTCAGTCCTTTTTCCTCAATAAAATAAACATCTTAATAAAAAAAATAAAGTCCTAATTTGTTAATAATTAAAGTGAATGAAATCAAACATTAAATATTATATCACGTTAATTATCGTTATCGTTTTATTGTGCTGCCCTACATCAAACCATCAATCGCAAAGTGACCTTTTCTCCAAATGGTGCAGTGGGTTTGTTCACTTCTGGTCTGTGGTCATTTGCATGTTTTTGTCCCCTTGTTATTCACGCTGCAGTAACGCTCTGCAGCCTTAAACATTTAAATAAAAGCAGACACCACCACAGACAGCAGCGGAGGGAGTCTCACCTTTCTCTCCGACGAAGGGCAGAGACCAGGTGAAGACGTCCATAAAGTTGGGCAGCCAGTAGGGGTGAGGGGAGCAGTTAAACTGCCGGATGTTCATCACGTTATTCTCATATTTCAGCACCGCCGCTGAGGACACAACACCAAACACGTCAACGTTTTCTACTTCACCGAGCGCTTCCAGTCTGCCGTTGCCAAGGCTTCAAGGTTGCCAACCTGTTGCCATGGTTTCCATCCTCTTACCTTTGTTATTGTACACGTCCAGGTAGTTCGGAGCAGAGAATATTGTAATTAAAGAAGGGAAGCCTGTCGTCTGACTTTTCCTGTACATTCGATACCTGACGGACAAAAACAAACAGGGTGGAGTTTTGCATGATGAGATTTAAAGACGGATAAGAAAATAAAGATTAGGTTATTGAGATGCAACAAAACAGATAAAACAACAACAATAACACTTTATAGCATTAAACAATACCTCAGACTAATGGTTCCCAACCTTATCGGCTCGTGTCCCCTTAAAACAAAGTAATTCTACACAGGAACATTCATAGTGTATTTTTGTTTTGTGCAGCAGAAAACACTCAGTTAATACTCAGTCTAATACAACATAAAAGGCTTTAATGCTCCGTTTGTTGTTTTAGAAAAGATGCTGGTTCAACTTCAGTGTGTTTCTGGTATTTTGTTTTCCCTTATTGATAAAAATGGAGTGGACGAGCACCAAGGGCTCGGCGATATGGACGAAAATGTTATCACAATCAGGATAAATGTCATATCATTATTTCTTTCAAGTTTCAAGGCTGATTTTTGCTCCTGAAGGAAGAAGGTTTAGGAAACCAGACTGTTTTTAAATTCTTCTTTATGGTCAGAACAAACACATGATGAAAATCTTTTAACAAATATGCACGAGTAAAATTAAGTAATATCTGGTTTTGTTAGGCCTCAACAAAATAAACATCTTGATAGAAAAAGTAAGTGCTAATTTGAACATTTTGTCATTGAGGGAAATTATATTGCCAAGATCTTGACTATTGTTTTATTGCCCAGCCCAAACAGCACCACAACCTACAAAATGACCCTCAAGCTGAATAAACTCTACTCTAAAACTAAAACTGATCACTATAACCGTCACTACTGTCACAGATGAGACTGCATTAGCTTTAACTGCCTGTACCTAATAAACTGGCAACTGACAGATGTTTAGGATTCACTGCGTTCCCATTAATAATCAGATGACCCCTCACATTTATCATGTGACCGTGTTGGAGGGTCCCGACCCCCTGGTTGGGAACCACAGCCAATAGAGAAACATGGCCTCGGCTGCTTAAACCTTTTGTTTTTTGTGTTGTTGTAAAAGCTCAAATTAAAAAAAAGAGAATATAATAAAAGACAAGCAACCATCTAATATAACACAATAATAACACCACAGTATTATTATATGGTATCACTGCAGAAAATGAAAGTGTCAGGCTGATGTCTGACAGGAGGCGTCACTCACCCTGCATCCTGGGCTTCATGTGCTCGTATTACAGACAACAGGTTATTGTTCATCAGGAAGTCACAGACTGCTGGGTAACTGGAGACAGAACAGGGAGTTATTATCCTCCAACAAACACCAAGATGCCAGTTTGGTAAACACAGAGCGGAGGGATTTCACTCAACGACTGTTTCATGTTTCTCCAAATGTTCAGCCTCGTCTCCTCCCGCCGCCCGGCTGTCTCCCAGAAGCCGCCGCCGCCTTTAACGCTTCAACTCCAGAATAACAAGAGACGCTTCAAAGTGCTAAAATTAGAGATCAATTAAGGTCGAGGCTTTTTCACAGGAGGGAGGAGTTTATATCTGATCCTCACAGAACTGACGATTCACCTCGGATCACCAACACCAAAAGCCCTTTACGCACACGCAGTACTACACGCACGACAAGTACAATACACACCCCGAGTACAAAATACTGCATTCACGCGGAATAAGTTGATTGTTTTTGCATCTGCATGCTTCTCTTCTTTGTGCTGCATTCTTTCTCTGAAACAGGACTGATGGTTTCTTGAAAAGCCCAGACTGAAGAGCACAAACTGTTTCACAAGTTTGTTTTCATGAATTAAAGCAAGCGTCAGTGCTCATCTTATTCTCTCTCTGGTAGTACAAAGTATTTGTTAAGGTTAGGTTAAGTTTACTTTATTTAACTGAGTGTATTTTCTTCTTTTCTTCTGGTGAGAAACATAAATGATTTAAATGCATTACTGTTATTAATTAATAAGGTGAACACGCTGAATCTCTCTGTAAGTGTTGAACCTGGAGTCGTTAATTGAACAGCGTTTACTTCAGACCAGAGTGTGTTCGACCTCGTCGAGATGGTGACTTTAACATAAAAGGTGAGCTGGTGTTTATTCAGATACGAGACGCTGAATTGCAGGAACGTTTACCTAACGAGGTGCAGCTCTGAAAGGGGGCGCAGCTTGGTCTTTAAAACCAGAAGCTACCTGGACGGGCTTTCGGGACGGGACTAAAACTCCTACTGACAGGCGGCTGTAATCTCCAACAGATCTATTAGGGGCGTTAGAGAAACACAGTGGCTTGGTGTCATTTCTCACTGAATGGTTTAAATGTTGTGCTACTTAAACAAACTAATGTAGGATGAAAGAGGCTTTTGAGCAGCTGCTGCTTTCCCCTCGCTGTGACCTCCATGTGGTGTCAACACCGCAAATTCAGTACAAATATAAAGAGCGAGGAGAGAATGCTAATATTTATTTTCAGTATCTGTCTGACGGCGGATTTCAGCAGCGGTCACTTATCCAGAGATAAGCCATTGTTTGTAAAAGCTTTAATCAGCTCAGATTAACAGACCAAGCTGCTTTTGGTCTTTTTTGTTTTTTTAAATGTGGAAACATTTGCAGCAGCACACAGCGTCCCGCGGTGACGGGCGTACCTGTAGAAATAAGAGCAGCCTCTGACGCTGTTATGGCAGAAGTGTTCCTGGGTCTTTTCTGAGCCGTAGTCCTCCCCCGGGTCCGACCACAGCAGGTCGCACATCGGCCCGAACGCAGGAGGTTCCTTAAACCGGTCCAGCTGCACACAGAGACACACCAACGTTACAAACACAATCAACCAGCTGTGAGCAACTATTTCATATCAGAACCTCAGTTTGAAAGAGAGAAACTGCCGCGACTTTAATTTCAACTTATAACAGTGTCTTAACAAGCTGCAAGAGGTGACTGTTATATACTGGATTTAATTACTATGTTATTGAGTAATATCAAAAGTCCTTACAGGCAAGTCACTCTGCAGCTATTTCAGACCAACAAGACCAGGCTAGTATCTGAATGACTGGGGAGAGAGCCAGAACTGCACTTTCACAGGTCACCAGGACATAAAAACTACAATCAATAAAATCAGCAGTAAAATCTGATTAAAAATCACTGAAAAAGTTTGACGACATAAACGTTTTTCCAGACAAGTTTTACTTCTACGCATGCGCAGTAAAGTAAATCGGACTCTTAGGTCAGTGGAACCACAAGATTGGCTGAATAGGGGGTGGTGATGGTGCATGGATAAGATGCTTGCCTTTGGTGTGTGAGACCTGGGTTCAATTCCCACTGTGAGACATCCACCATGTGTCCCTGAGCAAGACACTTAACCCCTAGTTGCTCCAGAGGCGTGCGACCTCTGACATGTATAGCAGACGCTTTGGATAAAAGCGTCAGCTAAATGAATAAATGTAAATACGTTTCCTGCTTTTGCTGTTAAAAGCTGTGATTGGCTTTCTAGCGGGCATAGAGGCCCATTGAGTTGTACTAAGGGTTTTTAAAGCGGGGCGTCTCCTCTATGAAACGTCTCTGCAGCGGCTCCGTCTGGTGCAGAATTGTGATGACGGTCGCTCTACAGTGTCAGTGTCAGAGACGCCTGAACTCTGATCTGACGTCCAGACTTCACAGGTCGCATTTCAAACAATCAGACCAGGATCTGATTTGAACCACATCTGAAAGAGGCTCAAATCCAAACTGGAACAGATCAGATTCCACGTGAACTGTTCACACTGAAACAAATCAGATTTGGGTCACTTTGGCCTGCAGTCTGAACGCAGCCCGAGTGAGCGGTTGGAAAAGTGATTTAGCTTTACTTGATTGTATCTGAATCCGTTTATGTAGAATTATTTTTAGTATAGTTTAATATAGACCCAAATACAGCGCTGAGGTTTAGTTCATAGGAAAATATTTACAATTTCAATCACAATATTTTGTGTGATATTGTCCGGCCCTCTGGTTACCTTTCGTATGTCATCCAGGCAGGTGACTTCAGGGCTCAGACCTCCGTGCACACAGAGGAACTGCTGGTTGAGGAGAGCAGCCAGAGGCAGGCAGTCAAACGCATCCATACAGGCATCATAAACACGCTCAGAGTACTTTATTTTACCTGCAGGACAAACAGAGAGGCACATTTTAAACACACAGCACCGCGCCCTCTCAGACCTGCAGGAAAGGACACAGTTTGTCTATGGCGGAGGACGTGAAGACAAACAGCTGCAGGACTTACACTCCTGTTTGAAGGTGAAGTACTCTGTGAGGTGCCGGCACTCGTGGTTGCCTCTGAGGAGGAAGAGGGTGTTGGGGTGGTTGATCTTCAGAGCCCACAGGTACAGTACACACTGCAGGGAGACACATGGGAGGATGAGGAGGAAGAGGCCGTCATAGAGGGAACACTTTATTCACCGCAGAGCCGCACCACGCATCGATAAAGTCAGGGTGTGTGACATGAAACTAAATATTTGGTTACTGAACTGAACCGGTTTGTGCACAAACACAAAACTAAACTCTTCAGATTATAGTCACGATCTTGGTCTCTTCTGACAGGATTTTATTTTTTAAAAGTCAGGAGAATGAAACTAAATGAGACCGAATTGACTCGAAGCTTATTTCTTGCAGTTTGTAAATATTGACCTGTTGCTGCTCATGGTGAGCTTAGAAACACAGTGGAGCCAGAGCCAGAAGGCTGGACACGTCTTCCTGTTCCCAATGTAATGATGACGACACTGATTTCGCATTCAACTTTAGTGTTTTACAACAATTTGTCTCAGTGGACACCCCCCCAAAAAAAGACACTAATCAGTAATGATGCAACGGGGATGAGAGCTGTAACATTTACTTTGGTAAAAAACACCAACACAACAGGATAAACTGCTCAAAACGTGAAGCATAAATGCATTAAAAGCTAACAGGAACTGGTCGGCTGTGCACAGGAGAGCGTCTGATTGGTCGATAGTAGTTGAACACAGGGCTGGACAATAATAAAAACAAAATTTAAAAAAGATAGCGCAATATTATTTTCCGTTGTAACAATATAACAAATGTTATAAAAGGTTTGATTCAATTCATTTGAATCATGAACAAATTGGCAATTAATTTTTCTTTAAGACATTTAACTTTGTTGAGGAAAAGGGACTGAAAAAAGAAGATTTTTCTTTTTTACTCGTGCAAAGTGAAAAAGCCCAAAGTCCAGCCCAAAGTGAGTTCCCATCTGCCACAGAAAACTCTGCTCTGAACTGCCTGAAAACAGCTCGTTTATAGTCCAGCCTTTACTTCCACTTTCTTGTGATGTCACAAGAAAATACGTGAAAAAACGCTCGCCAAACAGCTACTCCGACACGACCTCAAAAACAGTGGTGGAAAAACAGCGAGCTGCAGCACACAGCTCTCCTCTCCTTCCAAACACTAGCTACCCTCCAGGCAGGCAGTGGACATAAAGTTGTTCCTGTGATGTAGAGACAGAGCTCAGTTAAAACTTTACGGATACAGATTAATAACTCACCGCTCTGAAACTCTCGCTCCAGTCCGTGTTGCCGAGCTGGTCGGCAACATGTACAGCTGAACCCGAGCTGTTTACCGGCTTCTCGCTGACCCGCCCTTCTCTGCTTCTGATTGGCTAGTAGTCCTTAACTAGGAACTAAATCAGCCTTTAAACTTGAAAGAAATAATGATTTGACATTTATCCTGATATTTAGTGATAGACCGATTTTAAAGTTTTTATCGCTCTAACATTTTTGGGCACAAGCTGCAGAGGGTTTGATATTTAGCAGAGCGTTTACTGAATACAAAGATAGTGGGAATTCTTATGACGACAGCATGCAGGCAGCACAGCGTTCATATGAAATCTTCTCACATGTTTGTGGGACTAAATGAGCATTTTGTTACAGTAAAAACTGGAGTTTATAGCGATTCAGAGAGAATCTGCCACCACAGACAAGAGACGTGATTAGCTACTGTTCTGTGTGACCTCCTGTTAGAGAATAAGCAAATGCAGGATCTTAAACGATAACCTGCTACAGCATTTTATGAATTTAAAGTATTGCAGGGGAGATAATCAGCTTCTAAATGTGCATTTGTTTTCATGAAGGAGCTGCTGAATCTGACGCATACTTCGCTTCCAAGCAAACCCACTCTCTCCAGCTGCCAGTCATCCGCTCAGTGTTTTTGTTCTGCATCAAACCACCTGTTAAACTCTTTTCTGAAGGCGTCGACAAGGAGCCAGTTCTGACCTGCTGTTCATCTAAAAACCAAACAGGTCTGTTCACAGAGGAACCAGAAGACTCACTCCTTCAGCACCACGAACGCCGGACACACCCTGCAGAGTGTAAACCGGGTCAGAGCGGGGATTTGTGCTGCTACGATGTAGGCCGGCACACACGGGCGGCGACATGTAGAGCTGTCAAAATGATCAGTTCATCAGTCAATACGATGTGCAGTCTTATGACCCCGATAACTAAATCTTTAAAGGCGAATCTGATTGTTCCAGCGACCTCAGGAGGAGCCAGATGCTGGAAAGGCAGAAGGACTAATACAAAACCTTGGCTCCTATAGATGCAGTCTAACTCTTCCAGGGTCTTACCTCCTGTGATAAAGCAGCTGTTACTCTGTGGCACACTGAAGTAGCAGGAACAAAGCAGCTTCAGTTATTTCAACAGTACTTAGTGTTTTGTAGATCTGTAGCAGCTGCATTCAGAACTGAAATCAAGTGAATAAAGAGATAAAACGGAGTCGATTGTTCCACTTGATGTGCCAATTTTCTGCACCGGGCTCTGAAAAACAGCGCCTGAATACAAACTCTGATTAAAGAGGGTGAACGTGGGCAGGAGGACAAACTGTGTGACACTGTGATGTTTGATCTTATGAATACCTTTCAGACTCCGATACGCTCATCTGACGCTGTTCAGATCATCTGGAAAACGTGGCTTCCTGAAGATAAATGACTTCTAAATTAATCTGGTTCAAATGGAGCGTCAGTGACTCCAAACTGCAGCCGACCCGGATTCTGACTCTGTCTTTGAAACTGGATAATGTGGCTCTCTGCGGCCCGGCCTCTGAACAAAAGAGTCTTCCAGGACATCCACTAATCCTAACAAGGAAGTATGACAGCAGCCAATAGAAATGTCATGCCATCCATAGCTACACCAGAGACCCGGTCCTTCCCTCGGATTGTTTTGGCAGTGGGACAGAGGCCGAGCCTGGAGGCGACATGCGAGGAGGCGTGTGTGTGCGCACGTACATTGTGTGTGTCTGGGTGGGGCTGAGCGCGGCAGTCAGGAGGGCGAGGACGCAGACGGTGTGTCTTTCATTTCCTACGACTATTTAAAGACGCTGTGCTAAGCCGGGGCCGCCGCTCCAAATGTCAGAGCGAAACGGCAGGAACACAAACACGCGAGCGCGAGCCGGCCGCCTACCTCGATGCTGAAGTACCCTCGGTCCACGTAGTCTCCGAGGAACAGGTAGCGGGTGCTGCTGGGGGATCCGCCCACCTCAAAGAGCTTCATCAGGTCAAAGAACTGCCCGTGGACGTCTCCACACACTGGACACACAAACACGTTGATTCATGTGTCTGTTATTTTAGTTTTTCTTATTTATTGTCAACAGATCTCATGTTCAGACCCAAACCTGCAACATGTCTGACTTTAAAAGGCTCAGTATCCTTTGATAGATGATTTGTTTGGGTCTTTAGACTGGATTTGTTGACAAAGAGAAAAATGTTGAGTATCACAGAACAAACACAAAACAGCTTCAAACGTTTAACATGAAGATAAGTTTGGCTGAACGGCAGAGAAAGAAGAAGAAGCAAGCAGACAAAAAAAACAAAAACAACAATAAGTGAGAAAGGGAGGACGCAGGAGGAGATAAAAATAGTCAGAGGGCATGAGGGGAGGCTGGGATACCTAAGCTAAGCCACATGTCAGAGGGGGCAGCTGTAGAAATAGACATCTGAGACGGGGCGGATCTGTGACCCTGGCCGAGACTCCAGAGAGCACACACGCCGTCTTTGTCTCGCTTTAATTTACATCACAAGATCTCAGTTTCAAGGGAAACCCGCCCCCGATATGGCGAGATGCGAGCGGCGGGAGGCAGGGGTTTACCTGTGATGGGGGCTTCCACTTCCAGCATGCATTTCTCCTGGCGGAGGATGGCGGCGCCCTCGTTGATGATTCGCAGGGCCGTTTCCTCCTCCAGCCGGCCCTCCTTCACCAGATGGGCCTTCAGCACCTCCACGCTGGGCCTCCCGTCCACATACAGGTCTTTGATGGATAGGCGTGTACCGGGAGGATATGGCACCGCTGCAGACAGGAAAGAGACAGACGGGTCAAACGCTGATAGAGTTAGACAATAAAGAATCTAATCTAAAGTTCAGTCTGAAGACAGACGGGATGTCTGTTGTTACAGAAAGCTTTGAAAATGAGGATGTAACACAGGGAACATTCAGCAAGGACACAAAGCACATAACTGATCCTGGGTCGGGGAGTAATGTTTCAGCCCGAAGGTAAACAACTGACTGGGGCTGCAGCTAACAATCAATTTCACTATCAATTAATCATCTGGACTTTAAAAACAAGTGTCAGAACTTATTTTAAAATGTCCAGGAGACGTCCTTTAATGTCTTGTTTGGCTCGACCAACAGTTAAAAACAGAAGATATTCAGTTTACTGAGGCAGAAAACAGAAAAGCAGGAAATCTGAGACACCTAGAAGCTGGAACCTGAGAGTTATTGTTGTTTCACGATTCAACATTGAAAATAGCTGCTGATTCTTTTGACGAACTGTAAATGAATCCATGAAATGTTTCAGCCCTACAACATATAGCGTCCCCCCTGAAACCTCTGATCTGACACAGCTTCAGACCAACAAACACAGGTCAACTGAAAACACAAAGAAAATCCTGACAAATGAACTCTCATCACCACTGGGCCAACTGCTCTGTGTACATAACACAAGCAGAAGTTAAATAAAAGCCTGGAAACTTTACAGTCAGAGTTGATCAAACCACCTGACGTCCATCAAACAGAGATTATTCACGTTTTTTTAACTAAATAAACAACAGACTTCTGTCACTTTGCCAGCAGAAGTTTGCTTTTTGTTTTGTTTTGCTGACGCGTCACGTTCAACATCACAAACCACCGTTAAACGGGGTCAGTAAACAGTAGAAAGCAGCACGGAGGCTGGTGAGGACGTTCGGGTGGTTGCTGGGTGGAGTCCGTAGACTGGCAGGTGAGTTTACGGACGTCGCAGTGCGGATACAAGGTCACAGCTGACGGCCTGTTCGCCTAGCATGCTAAATAGAGCAGGAGACAATCAATACCCAAGACTTCAGCAGAGTCATTTGATCCTGGAGTGAATGCCGATAGCACCTTTTCACACCGAAAGCCAGATGATAGTGGGGTTTTTATCCAGTTTGAATGGATCTTAGGAAAATAATCTGCACCTTTTTTCATTATTTTTTAATTAATTACTCATTTAAAGACCAAACTAGCTGCTTTTATTGGTCTGACATTGTAGTAAGCTGAATATTTTTTTGTCTTTTGGACAAAAGGAGCAAGATATACTGATGTTTTAATGCACGGATGAATTAATCAAGTGGGCAGATTAATGGATAATAAAATAAACTGTTCCAGCCGTTCCTCCCTGTCTGCAGACTCGGCTGTGACGTAATCCGGGCGTGTGTTTGAATGTGAAGACAGTCTATCGTGACCTAAATGATCTATCAGACAGATTATACAGGAGCACGTCTGTGAGATTCCAGAGCCGATATATTCTGATGTGATTTGCAGAACTTCTCACAGAGACTGTGGCGGCGTGTCGAGGCTCGACCTGAAGACAAAGAGTAACAGTCTGGCAGCACAAACACGCCCTCTGAGGAAATACCAGTTCTTGGAAAACACCCTTGTTCCACAGAAAGGCAGAAAGGAAGACCTGAAGGAACAGGTCGCGTTAGAGATCAACTGTTTTCACACCAAGACTGCCATTTGAAAGGCTGCCATCTTGTAATTACAAGCGCCGCTATGCATCGTAACAAGCTGACGGAGCTGTTACAGACGACTCCACGTTTTAATTTACTCAGCTGCGGCTGATTGTTTTTAATTCTGTCAGTTAGACAAACGACCAAAAAGGAGAAGATAAGAACTGAGTTTGAGGAGTCCTGTTCTACACAAATGATCTGTGTGAAGTCCAGCGACACCAATTAATATCAGGCACGAGTCTATACAACACCGGGGAGATCAATAAAATAAATTCAGAGAGGGGAAATCTCTTTGCAGCTCTTCAGAGAGTCAGAAGCAGCTAACAAGTGATTATATTTTCATTTCCCATTTTAGACACACACATCCAACCTCGTCGTTGTTTTATCATTCTGCAGAGACAGAGTCGTTCTCTATCACGTTACAAGACACGGAGGATATTTTATCACCAGTGCAGATGTCACTCATTTGCTAGCACGTTGTTTTCTTTCTGACAGGCTACATCGTTAACAAGCCTCCTCTGCATGCTGCTGTTAACAGAATCCAGAAGACAAGTTCTTTGTGTTTTACAGCTGATGGAGACGGTCAGCAGACACGTACATGGAGAGAGAGAGAGAGAGAGAGGAAGAGGCGGGGCCAGCAGGTGCGTTCGCAGCACAGGTGAAGGTGAGTGGGGAAAAGAGATTAAATTAGTGACACTAAAAAAAAAAAAAAACAAGGGTGGAGAATGAAGCAGAATTAAAATGGTGCGATAAGAAATAAACTACTAGGAATAGAAAATGTAGCCTCCCCCACTAACACTGACACCTCCCCCGCCGCCCACCACACCACCGCCCAAGTTCTCAGTCTGTGGGAAACACTGGTTTGGTTTTGGGTGCTGCTAGTGTTTGCTGGCTAACCGTCCAGAGAAACGTTTGTGCAGAGCAGCAGAAAAAAAGAAAACAAAGCCTGTTTGAAACACTCTTTTGTTTTGCTTATATTTGGCTGGCTCCTGGCCACAGCGGGCACGGTGGCCAAGAGGGACAAAGTTCAACAACAAGCAGAAGACCAAAGCTTCTATTAATCAGTGGAATGTAAAATGTTTTTCACATTTATCTTACTCTGACTTAACTGCTGTAAATGAAGCGTCTGCATGGCAGGTGGAAACTTCGGGCCCTGTGAGAGTTTACCTAAGCTGATTACACTGCAAGCAGCTGAGTGTTTTGGCGCAGTTATTCTTAAACTTTCTCTCCGTCCCTTCAGCCGTGGAGGACTGTCGTTGGTTATTTGAATACCACTTCCTACAGTGGTCTGTGACGTCTCGTTTCACAACTGTGGTTTTTGTTTTCTCTCTTCACAAAACTGTCTGAGACGCCGTCTTCCTCGTGATCACCCCGTCCGATCAGACTCACATCTGCTGGTGATAAACCAGTTCAGGAGCTCTCATGTGACTGGCTGAACGCATGCGACCTGGTTTGATTTCAGAGCTGCTCACTAAAGTAGACCACTGGGCCAGGAGAGAGCGTGTCGACACGAGGAAGCGTGTGGAGGCAGAGGACGGCAGGAATGTGTGTGATCGTCAGATTACAGTGATCCCACTTCTTTGATCCGCCTTCATTTGTCTGTATAAAAAAAAACATTTTAGTACTTTCAGGTACTTGCGCAAAGTTCCTCAGTATACAGCTTGCATCATTTCTGTATGTCACCACCACAAACTGTTTAGGCAAATTCAGGGCTGAAGCTCAGGCCGAGCCCTGTGAGAACCGGATCTAATCTTTAAACTAATTTACTATAAATCTACATACAGGCCTGTACTTGTGGCTGATATAGTATTAAACAAGGTTATTATTGTACTAAACATGTCTGTTTTTACTGTCCTCTTCCTACAGCTGTCGCAATAGCCGCAATATTGAAATACAGCCGTAACAAAGGCCGTAACGCTTCAAAGGACGGAGGGGTGTGGGCCGACTTCACATCTGGAAGTCATGTTTTCTGTTGTTTTATTATTTTGTAGGTTAGCTAACTTGGTGTTAGCATGTTGTGCAGCTAATGTGGCTGGCAGGCTCTGTGATGTTGGACTAATATTGAGTACAATTAATCTAAATTACAGACTATTGCAATTTTCAAATCGCAGGAGGTGCAATATTTGTTAAAAAGGTCATACATGTGTCGAAATACTAATTTAAATTAAACATTGTGGTGCTGCAGAGACGTCCCGGCCTACACATCAGACTCTACAGACTTAAGAAAATATCCTTTAGTGCAGATCCTTAGAAAAATAATCACACCATGATCATATTTTCAGTGAAAATAAGTAAAAAAGTAAAAATAATTGTTCCCTTTAATATCACAATTGAAATATCAGTCATAATAATTACATTATTCGGCCCCAATCCTGAGGAACAGTAAAGATAAACTGTGTGAACGTTAATCCTCATTTAAAGTAAACTAATAACGGGTGTGTTTGATCCTGTGGATCTTTAAGTTAAAACAAAGTTGTGAGTTGTTACACAGAAGCCCATTCAGCTCTGCACCGCTGTGTGTGCGTTGCTGCTGTATGTAAATGTACTTGATAAACATGCCCTGAAGGTAACGACACGGCTGTGTGTGACAAAGACATGGCCAAACTAATAATAAAATAATTTGTGTAACTTTGACTAGCACCCTGCAGCGCTCTCGCTCAGACCATAAAGCTGCAGCTGGCTGGGCGGCGAGGTGAGATCCACAGATACAGCTCAACCTCTACCACAGTCTTTACGGCCCTCTACCGGCTCCATCATCAGCCAACGAGAACAGAATCATTACACGTGCCAGCTGATGCAAATGAACAGACTGATTCGATTACCATTGGTAACTAAAAGCCAAAAGGCCAGAGACGATGTGTACTGACCACACACCCACACACACACACACACACACACACAGCTGAACAGGATGCTGCTGCAGCGTCAGTCAGAAAAGGGCAGCAGTGATGAACTCGAACCATCAGGACGTCTGTTCGCCGTTCACCCTGAAATCATTATCCAGCTGATGAGAAGACTGAATGTCATTTCCATTACAGATTCGTCGTTTCGTCTTTTACGGTCGTTAAATGGTTCAAATATCCCGTTAACGTTTCCCAGACAGAAAGCAGACATCTTCAGATGTCTAATAGTCCCAAAAACAAAAGCTGCTAAATCAATAAATCTGTTTATATAACTTACCAAATCAAAATGCCTAAACCCTTCCAGTCATATCATTTTAAATTGATAACATAAGCAACTGAAAGACAACACCTCAGGCGCTCATCCTCATCCTCTGACATTGTTTACATAATGTCAGAAATCAGGGAGATCATCTGATAATGAGATCAATCACCAGCTGCAGCCCTGGTGTGGATAAAAACCTGGTTTGTTTTCCTTCCAGCTTGTTTGAACAGCAAGTTACCATCTAAACATGACTTTCTGTTGGCCCCGAGCCACGCAGACTGCCGAGGTGTAGCCGGGTATTATGCTGTTAAATGATGAACATGATCGTCTTTGTAACGGTGGATCTATGGCTGAGATGAGACATGTTACAGGTGTACCTAATAAAGTGGCCACTGACTGTTTATACCTGCTGCTGCTCTCTATTACACTGTCCAGGATCGTATTTTGAATCACGTCTACTTATCCACAGGTTTTTCACGGGTCCATTTTGGACTTCTGAAGGCCACACAGATAAATGAGCCAACAAAGGGAATCTAGAAGCGGGTTGGACGGACGGGTGAAGCAAACAGCAGCTAGCCTACATCGTGTGCGTCGACTTCCTGACTGACCAGCAGCCTGAAGAAGGCAGCTTTAATGAAGTGACGCTCTCCTGCTGCTTTACACTCCTAAGCCTTCCTAACGGACTGAGCCCATCATACGTGGCCGCCCTTAACCCACAGACACAACATCACTAACCTGACGCTTAACTAAACACTGAGACAAGTAGGTGGTGCACAGGAACGCCAGTCTGCATAAAGACGCCACGTTCACGTGCTCTGCATTCAGGATCATTTAAATCCAACAGTCACTGCAGCTTCTTATTCCTGATGCCTGATATCCGTTTGTAGTATTTGTTTTGTTGTTTGGTTAAATGTTGTGTAGGAGAAACAGCGTGCGCCTCGGGACACATTTCAGGAAAATATTCTGAAAATACAGATAATTAGTACTACAGGCCGTCAAAGCTGCTGCAGCAACGACGACTGGAAGACAACTGAGGTCAGCTGAGCAGACATGTGACCCACGACCAGTTCATCACGCAGAGGTTAATAACAACGCTTCATACAGGAGACCGGCGCATGAGACACTGAGGTGCATTACCGTGTCCACATGAGACGGCCGTCCCTGTTAGAGACTCCGCTTCATTCACTTCAGTGCTAAACCACAGAGCTGTTAGAGTTACATCAGGCTTCATGATCAAACACAGATTTTGTTTCGTGTCTCCACTCGTCCACATGAGCGCTCTCTCTCTCTCTCTCTCTCTCTCTGTGGGAGCCAGATCCTGTTTTAACCAGCGGTGTGTCACTGCGTGGGAAAACTAATAAAACAAGATGTACAATATTCAACAACAACAGGTTATTTTATTTAATCCAGTCAATATTTAACTCTTATAGAAAATACTGACACCGTCTCTCTGACTTCGTGCAAGACGTGTAACGCCATTTGTTTAAGTACTGAAGCGCAACAAGGGTTACCAAAGTTCAATGAACCGTGGATTCGTTAAGACCCGCAGCTCATCGGTTTCTAACTTTCTGCATGTTTCAGCGCCGCTGCTGATTGAACCTCAGTGAGCATTTTACAGTCCATACAAGTGTCACTTATCAGCCAGGACTCTCATTGGTTAACACCAGCCCGAACCAACAGAGGCGAACCAGTACCAGCCAATCAGAGGAAGAGTCTGCAAACATCTGGTCGACAAAAATAACAGCTGTTCACCCCTGCCATGAAATTACACGTGTGTTGTCTTCCTTGTGGTTCTGCTGGTTTCACTCGGACACCCGAACTCTCAAATTTCACAAATCGTTCTGTTAACTAACTTATTTACCCGCCACTGTGGCTGGTACGTTCAGCTAATTCACCCACATGCGGAGGATGGCGGGCGTTAACTTCCTGTGTCCACGGGGTCATATCATATTCAGAGACTGGATATTTACTTATTTATAATAGACTCCTAAATATAACACCACACCCCCTTCGGTTGGCGAGGCAGATCCTGATTTGTGTGAGCTGTAAACGCCGGAGAAAAAAAAAAAATTGAAGAGTTTATCTGACAGGACTTCAGACACAAAAGGTTTGGGAACAGCTGACCTGCACACTTAACTAAATAACCAGAAAGCTAGTTACAGGTGAGGTGTTGGTGCTCTAAAACACACCTGTACGAAACAGTTTCTGCTACTACAACTATTAAAATGTGTGACCCAGCAGCTGAAGTATGTGGAGAAGTGTTATTATAGAAACGTCTGCAGAGGGAATACAGCTGAAAGCCTAATTGGGTCACAATCTGACGGGTGACAGCATTTGGTGCAACACCGGTGTCACAAAATGTCATAATGGGGAACTGGAAAAACAAATATGCCAACCTGAAGAGAGAGAGAGACACTTGTATTCACTTAATCACTCTGTCCACTGTTTTCTCAATTAATCAGCTGATTGATTCGTCTCTAGACTGTCAGAAGAGTTTAAGATGATATGTACAAAATGTTTTGTTTGACCAGCTGTGCAAAACCCCTAAAATATTCAGGTTACAGCTTTTTAATAAAACAAAGAATAGAAGGACATCTGACTATTTTAGATGCTGCAACTCTGTTTTATTAGATTAGTCGATCGAAAGAAAATTAATCGACAGCTATTTTGATAAATCCATTAATTGTTTTAAAGCAAAAATGTGAAACATTTGCAGGTTTCATCGTCTTAAATGTGACATCCTGCTGCTTCTCTGTCATTTTATGACAGTAAATAAAGAGTCTTTGGATTTTGGACAAAAGAAGCAAACTGAAGACGTCACTTCTGGAAAATGGTGATAAGCATTTTTCCCCAGGCAATTTCTTGACATCTGATAGACAATAAAGTCTTTAGACTGGTTATCTGTCTTATCAGCCAAATGATTAATCAACTACTTGTGTCAGGTCTGCTGAGAGTTACGTAATGCTGAGGCATAAATATTTCATGCTTCACTATGGAGGACTCAAGGATCAGCTCTGTCTTGGACCAGGACCAACAGTCTCTTGGGGGAAAACTGTTGGTTAAATAAAGTGTTAAAATAAAGTAGCTTAGTTGGAAAGTGAAGGTGTTAAATTCAGGTCAACACCTGCATTCAACCACCAACAGCAGCGACGCATTTGCAGCAACAACCATCAAATGTTTGGCGCGGACACGCCTTCAGACTCGTACCTGAGACGGACCCAGGTGTTGCTCGGTGCACCTGAGCAGCGTTAACAGCAAAATGTCAAACGCACAACTGACATCTGGCACTCAGGGGGCAGCTAAAGCTAAAGCAGCTAACTCATTAGCTGCGTCGGATTGATTAATTTACATAACCTGGTTATCTCGGTCCCTTCGGTGCAGAGAGGCGGTTTAACGCACCGTGATCCTCTCAAACAAACAAACCCCGGCAGAGTAAATGAGCTGTTAGCGGGACTGTCCGTCACCCAGCGGCGCGTTAAGCTGCTCACATTTAGCCAACTAGCTCCGACAGCAGCAGCCGTGAACTTCCTGCACCGAGAGGGGCAACGATTAAATAAATGTCACGTACCTTTGATGGGTCGGTCCGTGGTGGAGAGTTTGTTCGGGTCTTTCGCCGACATCCTCCCTCCTTGCGGGCTGCGGGTCGGAGAATTTGCTAAATTCCTGACTAAACTTGCTAAATTCCTTACTAGCTAGCTAGCTAGCTGGGGTGAGCTAGCCGCGCTAGCTAGTTGCGTGTCAGCAGCGGCGGCAGCAGCAGAACCGAGCCGAGCCGAGCCGAGCCGGACTTAAACCTGGCTAAGGGGGGGAAGGGAGAAGGGGGAGATGTCTTTAACTAACAGATAAAGCTGGTTCCTCTCCCTCTCTGCTGTGCGGTGCCTGGCCGCTGTCAGTGTCCGCGAGGCGGATCGATTGGTCCAGGAAACGGCCCGTGCGCCGCCGATGAGTGCGTGCGGGAGCAGCGCGCGGTGCGTCAGATCATATCTCAACTTTATCCCTTTATTCTGGGACGAGCTGCATCTGTTACAGGCCGCTGGGCTCCGCTCTGCTGTCGTGATCCGATGTGTCGTCCAGACCCTCTGTCGGATTACAATAATCCGCCGCAAGCGGATTTCCTACAACATGGCTCGGCGGCGCGGGGGCCGCTGGGTAGTGTAGTGTTAACGCGAGATCAATGCGCCGCGTTCACTGGGTTTACCGCAGCGGCGGAGCAAACACGCACGTTTCATGACTGGTCGTCCTTAAAAATTAAAACATACCTTATTTTAAATACAATAAAGTCATTTATTTTTTACGTATAGCCTGGACACGTTTCACATTGGCCTACTGAACCTTGTGATTATTTAGGACTGTGTAAAAAAGAGGTGTAAATACCACACAAAGGCTGCTTGTTAGTAAAAGGCCAGTAGTTACTTCCTCTTTTACTGTGTTCACGTGCTTTTCTTTGCCAACTACTTTAACTAAGTGATGGATTAAATAAATAAAAAAACACTAAAAAACACTTGTTTTTATCTCTACATCCCTGCTTTGTTAATGTCTCTAATCTTACTAATTTGAGCTCCTCCTCTGTTCACATTTATTTAATTAATTGCTGTTTGTTTATCTTTATCTCTCTTGTTTTTCAGTGTAACTTACTTCTATTGTCTGCTGCTATGTTTAAGTGTGCTAGGCATATAGTATCAGTCCCACCAGTATTAACTGATTTCTGGTTTGTTTACATATTCCCAAACTTGTTTGCATATTTTCCTAATTTTCAATAAAAAACAACAACACAAAAATTCCTTTAACGACTGAATTTCTTTTAGAATTCATACTTTACTTGGGAAATTAACATTTGACAAGTTTAACAAAACAACAGGGCAATAATTCACAGGAAAGAGCAGTGATAGATTAAGTATACTGTAGCGTACAGTTTTGAGGTACATGGAGTATTAGCCTACCATTTGCTGCTACTTTCTACTTCTACATCTCAGAGGGTAATACTGTACTTTTTGCTGCACATTAATCTGACAACAGTACTTTGTAGTTTCAGATTAATAGCTTAATACAAAATATAATCAAAGAAATGATGATGTATTATTATGGGTAAAGAAAATACTTAATTGATTCTTTGGTGAAATTTACCTGGATGATCACGTTACTGCGTCAGTGATTTTAATATAATATAATGTTTTAATCTAAAATGGGCCATTCTGTATTATGAGAACTTTTACTTTCTGTACTTTCAAGTATATGTTGACGCTAATACTTTTGTACTTTTGCTGAAGTAACATTTTGAATGCAGGACTCATAGGCTACTTGAGTATTTGAATATTACCTCTTGGAAAAAGGAAAGGTTTTGTTTTCACATGGTGTGAAATAAAGAAGTTAAACGAATGAAAAATAACATGTTTTTTATGTTTATTCCAATCTCCATTCTCAAATTTGGCATATTAAAGTCGCCATGCTGCCAGTTATCATGTACATGTATTTCTAGTAGATCAAGGAGAACAGTGCTAAATAACCCAGCCTCTAATTTGTCTTTCTATAAAACTACATTAAACTGCATTTTGGAAAGAATTTCCCCTTTTAAAATTGACTTGCCCATGAACCATTGATCCCTTTCCAGCAAAACACAAGAGCTTTATTTGGGTTCTCTGATTGCTGACTTCCTGATTCAAAGAGATGTTAAATTGTTGAGTTTGGCGTCAGGTCTGTCACAGAATCTGTTTCAGTTTCACAGACAGGTTTGGATGAACATGCTGCTCCTATCAGTAATAGCTAGTGGTCACCAAGACTCTTCAGCATATAGAAAAACTAAATATTAAAACATAGGTGCTATGTTTGTCCATATTTCTACAAGACACAAGAGGTGAGCACAATGACTACAGCGCCGCCACGTGGACACTGATCAAACTGCTCCAAATACAATACATGTGTTGACCATGATGACAAATATATATTTTGTAACTTAAAAGCTAGAATATTCAGACACATCAATGGACACTTTCTTTTGTTTTCTTCTTGTTTTGGTGTAGAGAACAAGAAAAACTGACCTTATTCTAAGCGTACTATTCCACTACTGTACATTCGTACCCCACATTCAGTATTTACTGTAAATCATTCCCCACACACAGACATTCCTACTGTACATACTGTATAATCCCTACAATAAGCACATTTGCACAACTGTGCATATTTTATTCATACCGTACTGCCATAACCTGTTCATAGCCTCTATTGACCTGTAGCTATAAATATTCATGTACACATATATTTATATTTATATGTCATTCAGACCTTTCACTTGTATAATAATGTATCATATTCTATTTAATTACTGATTAAGCACTTCTGGTTAGATGCTATCTGCATTTCGTTGCTTTGTACCAGAGACATGTGCAACAAAAATAAAGTTGAATCTAATTTAGTCTTATTCAGTAGGGGTATTATTTTTTTAATAAAAAGGTATTTGTTTTTAGGTTCTTTTACCAATATTTTGTCTTTTTTGAACAATAAATAAATAAATTAAGTACTACTGATTCAAAAAGTGCTTATAGATAGATATAGACATAACACAACACGCCAGAAACCTTGAAGGAGAGCCACCTCAGCCCCCGCCGGAAGAGAGCTCTGATCACGGGAGACAACTGAGCCAAGAGGAAGAGCCTCCACCTCCCTCACTGAAAACAGTGAGGATTCAACATCTCTGCCCCCCCAATCCCCATCTAGGTCACCCTTATCTCCAGACACCCTTTCTCCCCTCTCCCCACTGATCACATGGAAGACCTGGTTAGAGCTGGGACCAACTCCCATTTTCTCTACCCTAAACCTCCCTCACCGTTCACCTCCACCACTGGTTCTAAGTCCTCCTGGTTTGACACATGTGTCACACATACAGCGCCCAACCCGCCCTCCCGCTCCGCAATGGCGAAAAAGCCCAGTAAGCTCTGTCTGATATGTGCTGGGTCCGGGCTACAAGGAAAATAGCACTCATGACTCTTCCCAGGACAAGCCGGGGCCCAGTGTGCTGATAGTCTTCTCCATCCCTGTCTTGACAGGTAACAGAAAAAGCATCCTGAATGTGTTAAGAAACAGGAAGAACTCAACATGTCCTGCAAATTTAGTATTAATTCCTCGTCAGCCGCAACCTGTTGAAAACAGTGGGCCAGATAATGTTTTTGACACACTAAAATTAGCTTTGTTAAACGTTAGGTCTTTGGCAGGAAAAACATTTTTAATCAATGATTTTATAATCTCTCACAATCTTAACTTCATGTTTTTAACTGAAACTTGGTTGGACCAAGATAACAGTGCAGCTGTCCTTATTGAGTCTACGCCTCCCAGCTTCAGCTTCATGAGTGAAGCTAGAGTGCATAAGAGAGGAGGTGGAGCTGCCATTTTGTTTAATGACTCCCTCCAATGCAAAAAGATGTCTTATGGGAATTTTGCTTCTTTTGAATATGTGGCTCTTCAGCTGAATTCCTCTTCTCGAGCTATTTTTCTAAATATCTACAGGCCCCCTAAATACTGTGAAAACTTTTTTGATGACTTTGGTGAGCTGCTGTCTATAATCTGTATTGACTTTGACTGTGTGGTTATTGTTGGTGATTTTAACATCCATGTTGACGACCCCCAGGACAGAGGGACTAAAGAACTGTGTTGTGTCCTTGGTAATTATGGACTGACTCAACATGTGAGGAGGCCCACGCACAATAAGGGGCACACGTTGGACTCGGTCATCTCCAAGGGTCTGGACATTTCCAAGGTTGTGGTGACTGATGTTGCTCTCTCTGATCATCCCTGTGTTTTCTTTGAGAGTGCTATCTGCGTGCACACAAGTCTACAAACAGGTAATCACAAAACGGCATATCACTGAAAACACTAGTGAAAAATTTATTGAGGCTTTCTCCTCAACAACCGCCCTCTCACGGGCCTCAGTCAGTGAGCTTGTAGATAATTTCAGTTCTAAAATTACAAATGTTATTGATGCCATTGCACCAGCCAAGGTGAAGGTGGTCTCTGGTAAGAGAAGATCTCCATGGAGAAATGCCACGCTGGTTAGAACTCAAAAAAGAGAGAGTGTCGAAAAGCTGAACGCAGGTGGCGGAAAACAAATCTCCAGGTTCATTATGACATCTATAAAGAGAGACTTCGCATTTATAATTTAGAGCTGAGAAATACAAGGCGGTCCTTCTTCTCTGACATCATCACCAAAAACACTAATAATGCTCGTGCCCTGTTTGCTGCTGTCAACAGGATAAATAACCCTCCTGCGTCTGTAGCCTCTGAACTTCTATCCACCAGGGCCTGCAATGAATTTTCCTCCTTCTTCACAGACAAAATTCAAACAATTAGACAAGCAATCAGTGCCTCCATATCAGTTACAGGATATGTCTTGTCCATGTGTCCACTTAAAAACAATTCATATAGCATGAGACAATTTGATTCTATTAACCATAAAAACCTGGAAGACATAATACAACATCTGAAATCCTCCTCATGCTGCCTTGATATTCTGCCAACAGGTTTTTTCAAATATGTGTCTAAATGCATGGCCTCAGGTTTACTACAAATTGTCAACATGTCTCTTCTCAGGTTTTTTCCCCACAGGCCCTGAAAACTGCAGTCATTAAGCCACTCTTAAAAAAGAGCAATCTAGACAGTTCACTAATGAGCAGGCCCATATCAAATCTCCCAATTTAATTAAAATCATTGAAAAGGCTGTTTTTCAACAGCTTAGTGCTTTCTTGGCACTAAATAACTGTTTTGATGTCTTCCAGTCAGGTTTTCGACCACACCGCAGCACTGAGACGGCTCTTGTTAAGGTCTTCAATGACATCCATTTAAACACTGACAGTGGCAGAATTTCACTCTTAGCATTATTGGATCTCAGTGCTGCAATGACACAGTCGACCACAACATATTACTAGACAGACTTGAAAACTGGGTTGGACTTTATGGCACAGTACTAAAATGGTTTGAATCCTACTTAAAGGAGAGGGACTACTTTGTGTTTATAGGTAATCACACATCTGAGCTGACAAAAATGACATGTGGACCTCTTTTGTTTAACATTTACATGCTTCCACTGGCTCAGATTATGAAAACCAACAAAATTATGTTACCATAATTATGCAGATGACACAGATTTACATAACCATTTCACCAGGGGACTATGATCCCATACACGCGCTGAGTAACTGTATTGAGCAGGTCAACGATTGGATGTGCCAGAATTTTCTTCAATTGAACAGGGATAAAACTGAATTGAGTTATTGTCTCTGGAGCCAGGGAGGAACGATTGAAAGTCAGTGCTCGACTTCAATCTATACCACAAATCAAGCCAGAAATCTTGGTGTAGTCATGGACTCAGACCTGAATTTGAAGAGCCATATTAAGACAATTACAAAGTCAGCCTACTATTACCTGAAGAATATATCAATGATTAAAGGACTTATGTCTCAGCAGGACCTGGAAAAACCTATCCATGACTTTATCTTCAGTCGAGTCGACTACTGAAACAGTGTCTTTACAGGCTCCCTAAGAAATCCATCAGACAGCTGCAGCTGATTCAGAACGCTGCTGCTCGAGTCCTCACTAAGACCAAAAAGGTGGATCACATCACTCCAGTTCTGAGGTCTTTACATTCGCTTCCTGTATGTCAAAGAATTGATTCAAAATCCTGCTGTTAGTTTATAAAGCACTAAATGGTTTAGGGCCAAAATACATTTCTGATTTTCTGCTTCGTTATGAACCATCCAGACCTCTCAGGTCGTCTGGGATCAGGTCTGCTTTCTGTCCCCAGAGTCAAAACTAAACAAGGAGAAGCAGCGTTCAGTTATTATGCTCCGTATATCTGGAACAAACTCCCAGATAACTGCAGGTCTGCTGAAACTGTCAGTTCTTTTAAATTAAGACTGAAGAATTTTCTTTTTACCGCTGCCTTTAACTAGTAGATTGATAACTTACACTGCACTGTAACTTTTACTGTCCTGTTTTCTTTTTCTTTGTTTTTAGCTTTTTACCATTGCTTTTAATTAAATATTTACACGGTTAGAAATGAGTAGGTAATTGAGTGAAAAGATGATGAGAGTGAGATTGAACAGAGTGAAGGAAGTGGTCTTAAATCTCGTGCCCGAGTGATTTGCAGGAACCTCTGTCCACCTGTAAACGTGCAGGTGGGTAGAGGGGAATATAAGGATCAAAGTGGCCTGCGGACAGACATGTCCTGGTTTCTCTGTGGTGTCCGAGGGTTTTTGGAGTTTCAGTGGACCCAAAGATTGCTATGGACCCGAGTACAGACTAGCTAGAGAGAGTAGATTAAGTGTACTTCTCTGTTTATTCTCTTTTCAAAATGACTGTAACTCAATTATTTGCTCAACCCCTCAGCCTGTTTTTATTTTCCATTAACTCTTTTAACCCTGATTGTACATTTTAAACTTTTTTTATATTTTATGTTTTATGTAAAGCACTTTGAATTACCTTGTTGTTGAAATGTGCTATACAAATAAACTTGCCTTGCCTTATAAATTAATCCACCTATGATGTAAATCTCCCTCTGACAGTAACTGTTTATAATGTGTAAATCTGTTGTGTAAATCAATAAATAAATAAGGCAAAAAGAGCAGAACTTTAAACCAGGATCAGCATTCAGCAACGTGATTGTAACTGCATGAGGTAGGTGTGTTGTTAACCTTCCCAGCATGCTCTGGGGCAGATTTCTAATTTAATGCGTTCCTGTGTTGTAACAGGTGTCATTTCTACATTGAGCTTTACAGGATTAAACATTAAACGTAATGCTGGAGTGCTGAGGTCCATGTCGGACGTGTTTTATGTGATAATCATGAAACTACTATTAAAATGAAACCTTATTAAAATCTATTTAGAGCAGTAAAGTTCTCAGCAAAGTGAGCGTGTTTTCACTTTTTGTTTGTGAACAAACATTAATTTTTTGTTCATTCGATCGAGTTCACAGGTAAGTCACCTGTGTAAAAATGACACCAACAGATCATAACGATTTCTGAATACCCTGCATGTTATCATCTAAAATCCTATTTACATCAACGCTCTTTCATCACAAAGAAAGTCGAAGATTTGTATTTTCAAAAAATACTTCATATTTACTCCATCTGCTGCAAAAAGAAAGCCCAAAAACATCATGCAGGACACGAGCCGCCCTGTTCATGCTCCTCCTTTCAGATCAACACAGTAACAGCTTCTGTCCACAGGCAGCCACACATGCACTGCACACTTCAGTAAAACTTCTATTGTTATTGTATCATACATTGTGCACTGAACACTATAGTAAATATTTAATGTTATTGTGTGTGTACATTACATTTATTAATTTAGCTGATGCTTTTATCCAAAGCGACTTACAATTGCTATACATGTCAGAGGTCACACGCCTCAGAAGCAACGAGGGGTTAAGTGTCTTGCTCAGGGACACAATGGTGGATGTGTCACAGTGGGGGATTGAACCTGGGTCTCTCACACCAAAGGCATGTGTCTTATCCATAGTGCCACCCCTTTTCCTTTTTGATAAATAAGGCAGGGAAAGTCTGAGCTGAAGCATTTCAGTCTGTTCTTATACACATGATATAAAGAAGTTGACCCTTGAACCTGGACTGATGTGGTTCCGTCCCTAAAACTGTCAATAAGCTTCAAGGAGCCTAAATAATCCAGATTTATCAACATTATAATCTGGATAACTCAGGTCTCCATATAAGAAGAGCGACGCCCTGATGTGCAGCTGAATGTGAAGCAAAGTTAAGTGTTGTTGGCTGTTTGCTCAGTGATGGATACGACTAATAAATGTCCTTTAGGACACTAGTTACTGTTTTTTGTGGGACACTTAGATGATGGAAGATTTTTACTGTTAAACTGAACTGTTGTTGACGCTTCCTCGTGGTGAAACTGAGCTAACTGGCAGCTGGGTTGGATGCTGCTCATGTTTGATATGTTCTGTTTGGTTTGTTAAGCTCAAAGTAAAAACTCTCAGTCTCCGATTTTACAACTGACTTTAATAAAAGAATAAAAAGTGTTAACGTAAAAGAGGAGTGTCAGTTTATTCAGTGAGCTTCGGGACTCCCCCCTTTAATGTGAACCCTGTAAATAGAAACCCTCTTTAAAAGGTTTTGGTCAGCAGCAGCAGTTGTTGCTGGGCCTCCGGAGAACCTGGGTTTTACCGAACACCTGCCCATATAAGGGGAACTTTGCAGGGCTGGGGGGTCCCATCTCGAGTCCGGCTCGTCCCCGGAGACCCCGGTTTCATCCAGACTATCATCACATCCCCTCCCTGCATCCCAGACAGCTGCTGTACTTAAACTCTGTGCTCACACCGACTGCAGCCACAGCATCACACGGGGAACCAGGAGGACACATGGTAGGTGATCAAATACTAATATTTTTATTCCTGAAAGACTAAAAGACCTTTTTTTAAAGCAGAATCTAAATTTCAAAGAGTTTGAGTTAACTATTGTTATTTTAAGTTACATAATTAACAAGCTGGAGGAGGTGAAAGGTTCAGTTTTAATGTTGGACAGACAACAAAAGGAAACTGTCAGCAGGTTGAAACCTTTTTATATACAGTCTATGGTTGAGACGCTCTCAGTACCGCTCCCTATCATCTGGATGTCTGGAAAATCCAGCTTAGGCTTGTGTCTATAATGCTGTTCAAAAAGAGTAATGTGACTGTGTGCCATGTGGCAGATATTTACATGTGCAATTTTATCAGCTTTGTATTGTGCAAACATTTACACTGGGAGAGGTTTGGGGAGTCATGAGAGTCAGTGTCAGCTGCAGACTGGAAGACACTGGTCTTGTGGGAGTGTCTGAAACCGTCTGTGTCCGGGTTTGGAGGGATCAGCCACAATCCTCCCTGCTTGCCTCAGAGTCCTGGAGGGATGGTGGACTGCAGCCGGTCACCTTCTCTGCAGAGAGAGTGATACGCTGCAGTCTGGCCTTTGTCTCCCTGGCAGTGGCAGCAGCGTACCAACACGATCACCTCACCACAGTTTCAGACAGTTAGCTGGCAGGTAGCTCCGTCTGTTACCTCAGACCTCCAGACAGGAAGCAAAGTCGAGCCTGATTCCAGGCAGAAATCTGAGACCAGCAGCTGCTGACTTTGGTTTGTGACGCTGAGAGAGATGAGCTAACAAATGCAGTGTTGGAAAGAAACATTTACTTAAGTTCTGTACTGCTGAACAATTTTGTGGTACTTTACTTCAATATTTCTTTATTTACTACATCATTTTTACTCCACTACATTCATTTTAAACCTTTCGTTACTTTGCAGATTCAGATTATTAATTAAAAATATCAATCAACTGATAAAATATGTAAACTAGTATTATGATTAAAGTACCCAGCAGTGTATAAAGTCATTAAAAGTAGCTGCACCAGCTGCAACATTAAAGTAATGAACACATGAATGCATCAATAAATATAATCCAGTAATATAATATAAATTATTCTGCCTGATGAGTACTTTGGTACTTGAATATTTTGCTAATATGTATTATGTACTTGAGTAAAATTTTGAATGCAGTACCCTAATTTGTAATTAAATAAATTACAAATTAAAATTGTAAATTGTAAATTGTATTTCTACAACGTAGTATTACTGGAAAAAGTCCCGATTACTCCGGAGCTCTTAATAAGTAATAACTTTATCTGATTGTTGTTTATTTAGTCATAAATAATGTTTCAATAACTCTAGCTTTGATTTTAATGTACTGAAATTTTAGGCGAGCAGAAAGACAAAGAAGAAGGAAGGAGGCGCCAAAAGAGCTCAGAGAGCCTCGTCCAACGTTTTCTCCATGTTTGAACAAACTCAGATCCAAGAGTTCAAAGAGGTGAAGTGACGTTCAGCAGAGATTCACTCAAAGCTTTCACCTCGTTACTAAACATGCGTTTGTGTTTTTGATTCAGGCGTTCACGCTCATCGACCAGAACCGGGACGGATTCATTGATAAAGAAGATCTGAAGGACACATATGCGTCTCTGGGTTTGTAGCTCTGACTGGAAATGTTTTCCACACATCATTCAGACACCACCTGGCTGTGACGATGACGTGTGTGCTGCCTCCTCAGGTAAACTGAACGTGAAGGACAATGAGCTGGAGGACATGCTGAGAGAAGCCACGGGGCCCATCAACTTCACCATGTTCCTCAACCTGTTCGGAGAAAAGCTCCACGGTGAGAACATCAACACCAATGTGCTGCTGAGGGCTCGGAGGAGCAGAGCGGAGTCTGATGGAAACAGGTGTACAAAGATGACATCTAGTTGCATGGTGGGAAGTGTAGGATCCTGAGTTTAAGGAGCTTCAGCCAGAAGAAGAAAACAGACTTCATTAATCCCTGAAGGGGAAATGATGTGTTTTTTTACTGTTGTAATTATTATTGTTATTATACACACACATGCAACAACACATGCAGAGACGTCAGAGCGAGGGGGCTGCCACCTCGAGCCTCCTCCAGAAGGGCCAAGGAGGTGAACTGGCTCCCCTCCAGCTACGGGTCCACACTCCGGATCTCTGGCCGAGCTGGACTTGAACCAGTGACCCTCTGGTTTCCAAGCCAAGAGCCTGAGTAGAGATGGAAAATATTCCTATATTCATGACCAGCGAAGGTTCACAGCATCCGACAACTCGAGACGGTTGTTTGAGTGTAGAGCAAATACTTTTACTAAAATACTGCACTTTAAAACAAATTTCAAGTACCTGTATTTAACTTGAGTATTTTATTTCAATGCTCCTTTCTTCTTCTACCAGTTCAGATTTTTACACACAAAACCTATGAGTTTATAAAACGTGACGCTTTGCTCTAAATACATCTGAAACCATCAGGCGATAGACAGAACGTTAATTAAGTTATTTTGATAATCGTTCAAATCTTTTTTCATCCAAACATTTCACGGTTCCAGCTTCTCAAATGTGATGATTCGCTGAATTTGGATTCATTTGTAGTTATTTGTTTTGGCAGCAGCAGTTTTGAGCTGGAAGATTCTTCCTTTTCTTGTGTCACAGCGGGCAGGAAGGGAGGAGTGTGGTATGTAGTAATGTCAGTTACACATACATGTAGTTTGCTAACATTAGCCCATGCTGGTCGTACCAGACCACGACAGGTTGTAGCAACAGTGTGCTGAAATGGGCAGATGTGCTTTTTATTGCTTATGGGGTAAGAGGAAGAACGGGTAATTTCTTCTTTTAGACTTGGCCTAAAGTTTCCATCCACCTGTTTTTATGCACATTTTTTAATTTACTCATAAAAGTATGTGAGTGGAAACACTGGAAATTTGAATAAAAGTTTAAATCTGTGTAAAAGAGTTGTCTGAGGTGAAGAAGTAGTTTATGGATGAACAGAAACAGCCTTGATGAAGCAGTAAACTGTGACTGGAGCTCTTTTCAGTCCTCTTCTTCTTCTGTGGTGGTTCTAATGGCAGCGACTAGAGAATCAGCTCCACCAGCTGTTTGTCTCCATCAGCCAATGAGCTTGTGTTCACACAGCAGCAGTGGGTGGAGACAAGCAGCAAGTCAGGTTTATTTTGTAGTTCATGGTTACTGAGATAAAAGTTGCACTACATTTGGTTGGAAATTTGAATATAGTGTCACTTTAAACTGAACTGACTCATGTGGTGGTTAAATAGGAAAACAGCACCCAAACACAACTATTCTAAATATTTTGATAATCGATTTATCAGTTTGAGTCATTTGTTAAGAAGAATTTCTCTGTTTCCGGCTTCTTAAATGTGAATATTTTCTGGTTTATCAAGACATTTGAGGGCGACATCTTGGGCTTTGGGAAACACTGATTTACATTTTATGGACCAAACAACTAATCGATTTATCAGAACAAAGTGAGCTGCCTGCAGGTGTCGTCACCATGTTTTGTCTCTGATTTGTTTGCAGGCACCGACCCTGAAGACACCATCTTAAACGCCTTCAAACTGTTCGATCCTGACGCCAAAGGCTTCATTCACAAAGACGAGTAAGTTGTCAGTTGCATGTTCAGAGGTTTAGAAACGTAATTTTTGCCATTAATGAAATGCTTCTGGATTTTTGTTTTGTTGTTGTTTTGCAGATTACAGAAACTTCTGACGACACAAGCAGACAAGTTTACACATGAGGAGGTAAAGTATCTTCTAGCTTTATGTTGCTATAACTGCAACATCTGAATCTCATCAAGCACATTTAATCTTTATTTTTGTCCAAATCTGCCTGTGTGGTGAGTTCATTTCAAATCAACTCGTTTTTAAAAACTGAAACAAGTTGATTTGAATCTGAAAGATGTTGAAATGCAGTTGTGGAAGAAGTACTCTGAAGTACTTCAGTAATAAAGTAATAATATCACAGAATCACATTTAAGTCCTAGATTCAAGATTTTCCTGAAGTACAAGCATCAAAATGTCCTTAAAGTACCGACTAATGGAGAAATGGCCCATTTCATCACACTGATCAGTGCCATTAATCTGTCTGATCGCAGGTGAAGCAGATGTTCCAGTCGTCCAACATCGACACAGCAGGAAACCTGGATTATAAATCTCTGTGTTACATCATCACACACGGGGAGGAGCAGGAAGAATAACGAGGCTCTGAACATATTTCTGCTGCAGTTTGGTGGAGAAGCATCAAGTTCAGTATTTGTCTCTTTCTTTAAGTTTAAAATAAAAAAGGAAAAACTGAGAATACCTGGTCTGGGATGTATTGATCATTAGCCACGTCCAAGGGCGTCACTTTGTGTTGAAAAGTGGTGGGGACATTTAAGGGTTCAGATTACTGTTGTGACAAAACACAAGATTTTGAGCATTAAACACTTAATTTCCTGCCTTCTGGAGACATTTTCTGCACCAATGCATAGTGGAAATATCTTTAATTATATATAGGGGAACACAAATTTCAGGTGGAAAGTGACAATTCAGAATATAAAAATATACTGGAATATAATGCAGCAATTAAATTGTTTTCTAAGCTTAAGTAATTTTTTTTGGACAATGCAGATCTGTTTTTTCTATATTTACTTTGCACTGCATGTTTTATTATTGTGCAAATAAACCTTTGTCATTTCTTGGTGCTTTTTTTCAGAACATTTTTAACGAATGCTTTCAAAAAGTGGTGGGGACATGTCCCCAGCGTCCCCAGTGTAAATGACACATGTGGCCACCTCGATCAGTCCGAAACATCTCAGCAGCTGTAGGATGGACTTTAATGAAACGTGGTTCAGACCTTCATGTTCCGCTCAGGATGAACTGTAATAACTTTGAGGAGGCACAGACTTTTTTTGGCTTCTGAAGGAGGGAGTGGCAGAAAATGTTTGAGAACCACTGTTCTACACTAACACAGTGAATATGGCAAACATTATTCCTGCTAAACATTAGCATTGTCCTTATGAGCATGTTAGCATGCTGTTAGCATCCAGCTAGCTGTAGCTGCAGGACTTTATTTTCCTCCAGACAGTTACTCCCTGATTTCAGGATTTGAGACGGACTGGGACGGTTAGACCATATAAAAAAATCTTTATTAGCACAGCATGTAATAATTTCTAACACTAAAGACCCTGCAGCATCCGTTAAATAAGAGAAACTCAACAAAACAAAAATCCATTTACTGCCTCAGGTCATTTGAGTCCAGTGATGAGCAGCTGTTTTCTCAGTAGTGATGACTGTCTCTACAGAGGAGTCCATGTTGAGGTCAGATGCAGGCCGCAGCCCGAGCATCTGTGAGGACGAAGAAGGCCAGCGAGTACGCAGGAAGCTGCAGCCGCTCAGCTGGAGGCAGACGACTTCCTTTAAAGTCAGGAAGAGTTTTATCATCCACCATCTTCAGCACTTCCCCGTTCAGTTTCACAGACCTTCAGAAAAAAACAGCTTGTTAGTGTGTGTGGGCAGAGTCAGCTGGTGCAGGTGTGAAGTATTATTGATGACAGATAATTCTCTCCACAGAGAGAAGCTCCTCCCCCCAGCAGGCTTCAATCATCCGGTTCAGACAAGAGAATATCCACAGAATAAATATACAACGCTGAAATATATGAGTGGGGGTCATTACAAAAATTGGAGCATTAAATTCTAAATTTCCTGCATTCTGAAGACATTTTTGCACTGATTTATGGCCAAAATGTCTTTATTTAAATAAACGGAAACACAAAATTGCGGTGGCAGGTGACAAATCATGAATATAAAAATATTATATATAATAATATATAATTTTTTGCACAAAGCACATTTGTTTCTTCTATATTTACTTTGCATTTCATGCTTTCTTTCTCAAGGTTTGTTATTTAACATTTCTTGTTGCTATGTTTCAGAACATCTTTACCAAGTGTAATTGTAAATGACACCTATGCTTATCCAATCTTCACGTCTGACGCAGAAACTCCTCTCAGTGAGGAAGTAGCAGGTGGAAGTGTGCCCACCTCAGTCAGCTGACCGCTCTCACAGCTCCTTACTGTGTTTTGACATCAGCTGCTGTTCACAGCCTAACAACAGTGTGAAAGACTTTCTTTCTTCATCAGCGTCAAAATAATAACAACTGGAAGGAAGACAGAAGCCGTCCTTCTTGACTGCACAAGGAAACGATCAGTAAATCAACAAAACATTTGTATTCTGTTTATGTTTTGCAGAACATTTGATTGTTCCAGATTAACAAATGTGAGCATTTGAGCAATAGATTAACATTTTGGGAAAGTCTCTTATTTCCTTTCTCTCTGAGATGTTCAGATGGACATCAGTCTCATGTCTGTGTGTTAAGTGCAGATTTTGAGTCTGGATTGAGTTATCTTAGCTTAGTTTAGCATGAAGACTGAAAACAGGGGGACAGCACAAGCCTGGCTCTGTCCAAAGTTCAAAACTCCACCTACCAACACTCTGAAGTTCACTGATTACCATGTTTATCTGGTTTGTTTAATCTGAACCCAAACAGTCTATGGTTTTAGAAACGGTTACGTAACTATTGCAGCTATAAGTATCTACCCAGGGTCGACGACTATGGTGGCTGAGCACACGTTTGGTCTCTGTGCAGGCCCGATAGTACAAAACAAGAAATAGTTCTTGCACATAGCTTCTCATGAAGCCACAAACAGGTTTTCAAATTCCTGTTTGTGAACAGATTAAATAAACAAGATACGACGGCCGTCTGAAGGCTAAAGATTAAGACGATGTCCACATTACGGCGTCTTTAAACTCTGTCTTGGTGTGAAACGTTAATACGAGCGTTCCCAGGTCATTTTAAGAAACATATCTGACCAGACTGAACGTCTGAACATAAATTTCATGAAGACAAATTACGTGAGGAAGAAATGATGCAGCTGTGAAAAAGCCATGTAACACACAAGCTTTGTTTTTTCTTCTCTTGCCTTGGAGAAGCTTTCACACGAAAGCAAGTAAGTAAAACGTGACTCTTCACATGACACGAGGAGAGAAGATTTCAGGCTAACTCAGTGATAAATGGTCATATTGACGGGCACCTGGAGTAGAGCCCCTCCTTCCCCGGCTGGTCAGACTGAAGAACAAAAGCCTCCACTGTGCTCGAGGAGACGGGTGCAGGAACGGAGATCCTGGCCGGCTTCTTACTCAGGTTCATGGATATCAACGTGACCGCTCCACCGCTGTAGCTGCAGGAATGAATCCAGCGTTACCACATCATGTCACAGGCAGATAAAAAAAATACTGAACATGAGAGAGAGATGAGAGAGTACCTGTTTCTGTTGGTGCAGTGCAGATACAGCCTCACTCTTTTACTTCGAGCTACGCTGGAAAATCCTTCAATTTTCAAAACCTCCGGTCCGACGAGTCTCTTGTAGAGAACAGACAACCAATAATCCTAAAAGAAGACACATGACAGCTGAAGCTCATTCAGTATGAAACTAAAGGGTTAACAGCGGTGGAGGAAGAGTTCAGACCGTTTACTGCTTCCATTGATTTATTTACCACCTTGGGGACAATATTTCCCTCTGAAATCTAGTGAAGTAGCAAAAAGAGAAAAACTTCACTTAAACTGATGGACCTGAACTCAACACAGAATTAAATTTTCACTAAACACATGGAGTGCAAAACTCAATTAAAACAAATAGAGTTATAAATCACAAAGGACTCTTACAGGAAGAGGATCCAGGTTCTCGTCAACCAGGTGGTAACTCCCAGAACCAATGAACACCTGCCTCATCACAACACGCAGGCCGAGCACAGCTGCCAGGCCGAGTTTATCCAACCACCTGTAGACAGCACATAACACTTAAACATGTTTTAACACCACAGAAACATATTAATAACACATAAACATGTTTAAATACAACTAAAACATGTATTATTACTACTGAAACATCTGTTAATAACACGTAAACATGTATAAATACAACTAAAACATGTATTATTACTACTGAAACATGTGTTAATAACACGTAAACAGGTATAAATACAACTAAAACATGTATTATTACTACTGAAACATCTGTTAATAACACGTAAACATGTATAAATACAACTAAAACATGTATTATTACTACTGAAACATGTGTTAATAACACGTAAACAGGTATAAATACAACTAAAACATGTATTATTACTACTGAAACATGTGTTAATAACACGTAAACATGTATAAATACAACTAAAACATGTATTATTACTACTGAAACATCTGTTAATAACACGTAAACATGTATAAATACAACTAAAACATGTATTATTACTACTGAAACATGTGTTAATAACACGTAAACAGGTATAAATACAACTAAAACATGTATTATTACTACTGAAACATCTGTTAATAACACGTAAACATGTATAAATACAACTAAAACATGTATTATTACTACTGAAACATCTGTTAATAACACGTAAACATGTATAAATACAACTAAAACATGTATTATTACTACTGAAACATCTGTTAATAACACGTAAACAGGTATAAATACAACTAAAACATGTATTATTACTACTGAAACATCTGTTAATAACACGTAAACATGTATAAATACAACTAAAACATGTATTATTACTACTGAAACATCTGTTAATAACACGTAAACATGTATAAATACAACTAAAACATGTATTATTACTACTGAAACATCTGTTAACACATAAACATGTATAAATACAACTAAAACATGTATTATTACTACTGAAACATCTGTTAATAACACGTAAACATGTATAAATACAACTAAAACATGTATTATTACTACTGAAACATCTGTTAATAACACGTAAACAGGTATAAATACAACTAAAACATGTATTATTACTACTGAAACATCTGTTAATAACACGTAAACATGTATAAATACAACTAAAACATGTATTATTACTACTGAAACATCTGTTAATAACACGTAAACATGTATAAATACAACTAAAACATGTATTATTACTACTGAAACATGTGTTAATAACACGTAAACAGGTATAAATACAACTAAAACATGTATTATTACTACTGAAACATCTGTTAATAACACGTAAACATGTATAAATACAACTAAAACATGTATTATTACTACTGAAACATCTGTTAATAACACGTAAACATGTATAAATACAACTAAAACATGTATTATTACTACTGAAACATCTGTTAATAACACGTAAACAGGTATAAATACAACTAAAACATGTATTATTACCACTGAGACATCTGTTAATAACACGTAAACATGTATAAATACAACTAAAACATGTATTATTACTACTGAAACATGTGTTAATAACACGTAAACAGGTATAAATACAACTAAAACATGTATTATTACTACTGAAACATCTGTTAATAACACGTAAACAGGTATAAATACAACTAAAACATGTATTATTACTACTGAAAGGTGTATTAATACCACAGTGTTACACTATGTGCCCAACAGGTAAGTGAAGATGATTGAAGAATGACGGTTTGTTGTCTTTACTTTGAGAATCACACATGAGTCTTGTTGTAAGTGAGCAGCAGGATGAATTAAGGTTTGTCATGAGACCGGGGCTGCTGGGTAATCAGTAAACTCAATCAGCTAGCCTACACGCTGTAGTCCGGCGACACCACGGCGTTCCAGAGAAATTACAGCACAAGTTGTCATTTACTGCATTCCTTCTGTGATATAAATCAGGGAGAATTTTCCCTCAGTTTGGTCTTTAAATCGCTTGTTTTGTGCAAAGATATTTAATTTATGATAATTGAAGACAGCTGTCACACTTTAAAATCTGTAAACAGAGCGTTTGTGGTTATTTCTCCTAAAAAGTGACTTAAATCAAAACTGCTGAACGACTACTTGATGAACCGATTAACTGTTTCGGCTCTAACTGACACCGTTTGGATCTTTTTGGTCTCCTGACTTGGTCTTGACTCCCGTTTGGACTCGCTCTCGACTCGATGGTCATGACTGGTATAAACTCACATGAATCCTGCGGCGAACGTGTCCGACAGTCCCGCAGCTCCTCCTCCGTAGGCCGAGCTCGTCTCTCCCAGCCACACCGACTTCCCCGGAGACACCAGCTTCACTTTCTGAGCCCAGAGAGAGAAAACACCCACTTCAGCATCACACATTTCAAACGCTGACGTGTCGCCGCCTCCGTCTCCTTCTGCTGCACATCTGTACCTCCAGGACTTCTTTGGTCTTTGAGGCCAGAGTGTCCAGAATCTCTGGGTCCAGAAAATCCTCCAAGGACGCGTTTCTCCCGTTCACATAGTAACTAGGAAACAGGAGAGGGGGAACGAAGCAATCAACAGATTTATTTCCTTCACTGAATTATTCAGTTAATCGACAACAAATCTACACGAGCAGCTGTTCATGTCATCCTGTCTGATTCAGTTGATAAATAAACATCTCACACATTCTCACTCCCAACTCCTCACATATTGATGGTCAAGACCCGTTGGCGTCACTTTTTAGCAGTGAAGTCAGCAGCAATACATAAAAAAGTAAAACACTACAGACTATAACACGTCTCAGTCTGGAGTCACGTCTGCTGTTCTTTATAAACGATAATGTAAACATTTGTTTTAAGCAGTGGAAGTAAATGAAGTCTGTGATGATCTGACTCACTGATAAATAATACACATGCTGTATATAGTTACTCAGTTAAATGATCAGTGTCAGTGTATTTGTATAGTTTGAGGTTTCAGGTAAACTCACTGGTGCCAGGTGCAGGCGTCCACCGCCTCAGCTCCACTCCGCAGGAACCTGCAGCAACGACAAACAGCGGTGGAGAAGATATTTTTTGTTTTGCCCCCACACACACACTCAGCTATGTATCTGCTGTAAACTGAAACTCCAATAATCGCCAGCGGTTTGTGTGTTTACGTCTTTCTCCTGATCAAATTTAATGTGTCAGGGCAAACCTCACCCACACCAACCCTCCACTGCAATCCAACAATACACAGCACAGGTAGTAAATACTGCTAATTCATAGTACATTAACAATAAATACCAGCAACATTCTGTAAATACACATACATTTAATGTTTCTCCAACTTAAAACACAAAGATCCACCTTCATATTGAAGAGGGAATTTATTTAAACATCTCTCTATATTAACTAAAAGATTGATTTCTGTCTGTGTGACTCTTTTACTAAACTGTACCAGGGAATCCCAAACTTCCTTTAATGTACCTGTTGTGTATTAACTTGCTGTTCAATATATTCTGTCTGAATAGTATAGTAGAAACATATGTGCAAGCAAGAAGTGCCTGGTCTGCAAAGCTGCAGGTTGTCAGCTGTGTGTGTGTCAAGGTTTTTACAGTTGTGCTTTTTTAAATTGTTTTCAAATTCAGTTTAGTGTTTAATTAGTTTTTAAAGCAGGTTTTCTGGTTTAATTTGATTGTTATTGTTTTAATTGCCCATGTTTTAGTTTAGTTTTTATTAGTTTCAGTGTTAGTTTTAGTCTTTTTTAGTATTTGTCAGGGGCAAGATTCAAAAAGGTCAGAAAAAAGTATTGTGAAATAAAAACTTAACAAAACATACATACAAAATGAATGAAAAACATCCACAGGTGACAATGTAAAAGCTGTGTGTCAGCTGCCTGGACCGAGGTTAGCTTCTGTTTCGGGGGAGGGGAGCTTGGCGTTCTCTCTTACTTTGTTAAGGTAAGCTAGGTTTGCCTTCTTGTGCAAGTTTTTCAAATGTACTTTCAAAATTCAATGTGTAGTTGCTGCTGACAGCAGTATTTAAAAGCCAGATGGCAGGAGGAATAAAATAATTTGTTTTTCTTGGGGGGCGAGGTAGCGCCGTCCTGAGGGCATTAAACAGAATCCATGACTAAGAACATGGTCAGAATGACTCATGACCTGTCTGGAGAACCAGCTCAGGTCTGTCAGCTGAACTCCAATAATCCTGGAGCAGATTTTAACAACGCGGCTGAGGCTGACAATCCATAAAACCAGCAGATAAAAGAAAATGTTAAAAGACTTTCATTGAATGAATAATAAAAGTTACATAAGATACTCTGGGAAAGAATTCAGCTTCCGCATCAAGTGGATTCTTTGTTGTCCCCAAATTTGTGCGATGTTTTTCCCTTTGAGAAATGATCCACATATTTCATCACCTTCCACTGTGAGGCTCTTATCTCAGACACAGTCTTATACACCACGCCTGATACCAGGCAGGACTAAAACAAAACGTGGACTAACGTAAATGTTGTTTTCACACATTGTTTTTGTTATTTCGTCAGTTTCCCTTAACGATAATAACCCGGTGAGTGTGCGTTGGTCTCTGCCTGACTGTGTATGCAGCTGCAGAGGGAGGCCGACACACAGCAGAGAGAGGGGACACTACGAGAACAGTCTATCTTTGTACGCTGAGGCGGTGCACGGTCAGCATTTGATGCTCTGTATTCAGCTCACGGTGCAGCTGCTGCCTCTCTGGGACTTCACACAAGAACCAGGTGCAGCTGGTGTGTAGGAGTCAAATCTAGCCTGAGGCGGTGAGAAAGGAAATTTAGAGCACTGTCTTAAGTGCGAAACAATAGTGAAACCAGATCGAGATGACAGAACAGACATCAAGACAATAACACACCATCAAAACGTGTTTGATGAAAAGACATGATCATCTTTTTTAAAGAGACGGGGAGTCAAAGGGGGCAGAGCCAGAGAGCCTGCTGTGGGGAGACTCATCGATCTCTGCCCGACATCACGTCTGTGGATGGTTAATTTTACTTATCCAGCCTCTCAGTTGGCAAAATAAACATATTAATAAGTATGCATTCACAAATTCATGTGCAGTTATTTTGATTTTAAAGAGAAGCTCTTCTTTTATGGTTTTGTGTCTGACGGCCGACTGATTTTAAATGCATCCTGCAGGACTTCATTCTGAACGTTTATCCGAGAACTGATGTGTGAAAAACCGGGTTTGTCAAACGCTGTCATTATTTTGAATACTTTAAAATGTTTGAAGTGATCGTGACCTGTGTGACCTCTCACCCCTCCAGTATGTCCGTCCTGCGGTCTCGCGGCTGACCGATGTCCGGCCCGAACAGTCCGGCGTCGTGGTAAAATTTGGATTCCGACATCATCTCCCTGAGACGGGTGAAATCCTGTCCCAGCTGGTATCCGTCCACCCGGATCCCTGCCTTCTTCTCAAAGCTGTTTGGTTCTGAGGAAAAACAGAAGTAAATTCAGTTTCAAAGGAGTGCTGTTCTCTGCCAGTAAAATGGTGTTAACACTTCCTGTGGGCCTTTCTGTGTAACTGTCAACACAAAACCACTGTTCAACAGAGCAAACTGTTTCCCAGACAGATCAAATAATAAGAGATAACTTCCTGTGTGACCAGCGACGAGATAAAAAGGCCTCACATCACAGAAAAACACAGAAGGGAAAGGCAAAACCTCAGATGCCAGACCGCAGTGTTTCAGTATGACTGTAACTTCACTAGAACAATGAAGCAGAAGAAGGAGGTGGATCTAACACACACACACACACACACACACACACACACAACTCTGATTAAAATGTATTTTCAGCTGACAATTACTATAAAACTTTAATTAAAAGTGGCCGATAGACTCATGTCCTGTTTACAGGCCTGGTGTGGCTACATGTTTTGACAAATAAAGGTCTCAATTAGAAGCCTGGTCTGGTTTTTATAGAAGTTCTTTATATGTGTAACTGTGCATTCAGACCAAACGCTAATTGGTTTTATGTATGAACCCAAAGGAAACATTTTGCTGTGATTTAATTGCAATAAACGGATCAAACTGATGCTGCTGAGATCAAAAGGATAAATGTTGTCAGCATGGAGATGCTACACATCATTGGTCATTAAGGTTTACCAGCACAATGTGGTAAACAAGAGATGTGAAAAAGAACTGACTTAATGACCTTTGAGGCGTCATTAAGTCTGAATATGCGTCCATTCCTCAATTATTTATATTTCTTCAGTCTGTGAGGGTTCACCAATAAAAAGAATTGAAACAGGTTTTCCAAGTTGAAATAACTACGGTAACCTTCTCTACATCTCTCTTAATCTGTGCATGAAGCCTAGATTTGCTGTCTCTCTGAGCCAAATTAATGATTCCTAATTGATACGTTATTCGAAATCCAAATTTTTATCCATGTAACAATCACACTGGCTGAAATAAAGAGTTTGATAGCAGCCTGTTTCCAGTGGTTTGCTGAACGAGAGTCAGAGTGAGTTCAGTGACTGAAGCAACTGCAGTTAAAGTATTTAAAGTATCAGTCTATATTCTTTTAAAATAAAATAAAATCCCATGTTCAGAGCCAAACCAACAACGTGTGGATGATTAACAACAACTATTGTATCCGACTAACAATGTGTGTAAGAAAAGCGATGAAGAAGCTTGAATCACGATCATCATAAAATATTTGCAGGTTAATCTCCTGTGAATCTGATCGTTTCAGCTCTGTTGTTGACAGTATGTAAACCTGGAAGTTGTCTCATCCTGTCAGCGCACCGTTGCCCAGCTCCCACGACATCCTGTACCGCCTGGACTCGCAGTACTGCAGCAGCGAGCGTGCGTTGCTGCTGTTCCAGCTGTTGTCAGCCATTCTGAGCAGAGCGTTCAGCCCGAAGATCAGATCCATCCCCGAGCAGTTGGTGAAGGAGTGCAGCAGGTCGACGGTGTACTCTGTCACAGAGGGAACATAAAGGTCACCACATCTGTGTTCATGCAAGAAGAGGATTAGAAGATCATGATCAACAGGGAGGTTAAGCAAATCTAAATACTATCTGGATCCATCATGTGAACTACAGAAGCACATTTCATGAAGCAGGAACGCTCGTACCTGTGAACTTCACCCTGCTGTACTTCCTCTGCAGATCTTCTCTCACCAGGATCAGTTGCTGCTGAGTCCACTCCTTCTTCAGCCTCTCCTCCAGCCACCAGGGCAACTCCACTTTATCACAGGACTGATCTAACAACGACAGGGGAGGGAACGCTCAGTGTGTTTCATGTTAAAGGGCAGAAAAACACCTTGAAATGTGCCGAGGAGCCAAAACACTGAAGAGCAACGCCAGCGAATGCATGTGTAGAGTGTTGTGATTTGTATATGTAGAAATACTTCAGTGATATCTGGACTTGTTTTTGTAGCAGAGCTGAAACCAGAGAAACGACATGAGGTCACATGAGGGAGGAGCAGCTGGGTCAAGTCTAACAATAAGAAACATGGATCCCAGTTTCACTTCTTACACGGAGGAGGTTGAAAATATATATTTATACACATATGACGAATCACAGCCTTATAATCATGAGCCTGCTCCTTGTGACTTTCATATTTACTCACTGTGGGTGGAACTGATAGCGGTTTATGTGTGACAGAGTTTTTCTGAGGAAGAGAAAGCATGAGGTCGTCGCAGCAAAAGAAGAAGTTATGACACACTGAGTGGGAGGAATGAAGGTTTAAAAAGGAGCAGCATTATTTACATTAGAAGCTGTTGCAACACAGGCTACCTGCAGTGGAACCAGACTCCTGCTGATGCCTCTGTGGGGTGAACACCATGAAGTCTTGTCTGGTCCCCCCAAATCTCAAAAATGCCGGACTTAATGCTTTAGCCAGCGTCCGAACCTTTGGAGAGCTGGAGAGACAAAACAAAGAGTCAGTGTTGATGTGAGGATTGTAAAACCTCAACGACGCTTCTGTTGGTCTCCAGAGAGAAAATAACACTTTTTATTACAGCCATGGAGACCAGAGGTCGGTTTTATTATTACTGTCAATAACACTTTCAGTTTATGACATGATCAGTTTAGGAGCTTCTGCTGCTCCATCCCACTGAACTGTAGAGAAGAAAACATCAAGATATATACATGTTCCTGACAAATCATTTTAATGTCCATTTAACTCATTTTCAAGAAGAAAGTGGAAAAACTGGTAAAAGAAAGAAGCATCACTCTGTCTTCATACAATCAAGTTGCATCTTTAATATCCACTAAAATAAAGTGGTTTACAGTGACTCGCTTTTTCTAACGTGTGTTCACACAGCGACATTTCATGTCATGTTGTTGTCAGACACCTGGTGTAACAGTCTGAGCCTGTCAGTGGCCACAAGAAGCACTTTTTTGTGGACGCCATGTTAAGAGGCGTAATCGTCCCGAAGGAACATATTGCAGCCTGTTCAGCTATGACTGAAGCATCTAGTGCAGGGATTTAAAGCTTTCCTACCAACGCATCATTTCAACACCAACATATGTGAAAACAGGTCCGAAGTTTAAAGATACTGACATGATCATTCAGTAAACTGAACATTTTCGGGTTTTGTATTTTTGCAGCATTTTATAGAGAGAAAACAATCAGTAGATCAATTGATACTGAACACATATGAATGTAAGTGAATGTTTTACAAAATATACCAAAACTACACCACTGGTGGAGGAAATGTTATTTTCACATCTTATATTTAAGTTTAAAAAAAGCAATTCTACAATGTAAGAACAATGTTTCAGTAAAAAGGCCTGCGTTCACAGTGTTACTGAGGTAAAAGTAGGTACATATTACACAATGTGAGCCTTGTGTAGTACTCTTTGTGTAATTACTAAGAAATGTATCAATCATCATAACAAAACATCTTCAGGTAACACACATCCAAAACTAGAACTGACAGGGATTTACAGGAAAGCAATAGACAAATATCTTTATTAGGCTAATCAATCAGTCTCTTAGTTATTTTTTTCATTATCTGGTTAAAACATTTTTCTGTTTTTCACTGTCTAAATTCACCTATAATCTGTAATTAATCTGCAATTTAACTCAATAAACACATGTAGTGCAGCAAAAGATCAATATTTCTCGGAATGAGTGGAGGTATGAAGTAGAATAAAACCAACAGTGCAGTATTTCACTGTAAGTACACCTACTTAGCTGCACACAAAGAAGCCCGCGGTATTTCTGACAGATTATTTTATTAAAGGTTCATTCAGTCTGTTAAAGTCAAACATTTAAAGCTCTGTGAAACACCGTGAATCCAATCAGCGCGTTACTGGACTTCTAACACTTCCTGTGACTTAAATAAGCCTCCCTCAGAGATCAGATCGGGTTTCAGATCAGATCCCAGCCGCTTCTGTCTGGACCGCGCTCACCTCAACAGGTACATGAACTTCTCCTCAGACGCCAGGCTGGCGTCGATGGTGACGGACAGAAAGCGCAGGTCCACCCGGCGGATCACAGCCGAGGAGTTCCTGTCCGGGTCTGTGATGTGGACTCCGTCAGTCTGACAGCTGAGGACACACAGAACCAGCACCGCGACGGGCTTCATGGCTGCAGACGGAACCTCCAACACGTGCGGAACACTTCTTCTTCTTTACAGCCGGGGAGGAGGAGGCTTCCTCCGGCTTCACAGCGTCCGCACCAGAGCCGGATCATCTCCGGGACGAGCCTGAACGGACGGGACTCCACCCCAGGCTGAGCACACAGGACTCAGAGGCCACCCCTTTAACATTTAACCCTCTGAGTCCCGGAGCGCACCTCGTGCAAGGGCTGGGTCTCTCTCTCTCTCTCTCTCCCTTCATCTGTTCTGCCCAAATAAAAGGCCCGAAATATAAATCGACCCGATGGATTCTGGTCGGGTGTTGCTCCTGTCACATTTTCACTCAGGCTGACTCGTTTCTCACTGCAGAACACAGGCTGGGCTAAAAGTCCTGCAGCTCACTGCAGCACAGGTAGAACTAGAAGCAGCGCGGAAACGTCTCCTTGTTTGCAGTAAAATTATAATGCTATAAATCATATAAAAGATAAAAATCCGCCACCCTGTACACAGGATAGACTGTTGACCTGAGTCTGCTTCAGTCCCTCCTCAGTCACTCAAGACCCTGAGTGACTGAGGAGGGACTGTAATGCATCATTTCTCCACAAGGTGGCAGAATAAACACGGACTGAGTTATAAATGATTCCTGCAGGACTTAAAACGAATCAGATGAAATAACTATAAAATGCAATTAAACTGAATAAAATATTTTATCTTTTTATTTATTTTATTTTAAATAGTTATACATATTTCAGATAGATAGACAGATAGGGTGCTTCATAAGTCTCTTAAATGCGACAATAAAATGGTCATGATAAATCAGAAAGTGTCTCCGTCTCTCTGTGTCTCCATAAAATAAGCAAAATCTTTCTAATAAATGTAGAAAGGTGTTTGTGGTTTGTAGTTCAGACCTACAGTGAAAACAACCTTCAGTTTGCCTCCTACGAGCAGTAACAATGACTGCTGTATTATATTTAGATTGTTTTGATATCTTATTTAAAAACACATTTTGATGTATCTTTGCATGTCCCCGTGTAAAAGACATTTAAATTTCATTAAAGAACCAACATTTGACCAAAACCCATTTGAATTCATTCTGTTCAGGCCAAGAGAGAAACACACACACAGTCACCTGATTTCCTGTAAATGGAGAGGAGGAACAACACAAACCAGGTGATCCAGCTGAGAACAGGGAGGAACCTGAAGCTGAAAGAGTTCAGTCTGTTCAGAATCCATTTTGAGTCTTCAGAGCAGAAGGAGAAAACTGAAGGCTGAGGCAGGGTGAGTGTTAATTCAACATTTTTATTATTTTACTGTCAAAGTCTTTGAGTCAGTTTTCTCCCTGTGGACTGTAGAGGAAAGAAACGTTAGAGTGAACTCAACACACAAAGATTTATATTCCTGATGCAGAACTATTAGTGCAGATACTGTTTCAAACTAAGATGGATCTGATTTGATTTCTGGAGCAAAACACCTGAGAACCTCCATGTTCCACTATTACACCAGCAGGAACACAGAAGGACTTTCTGGGGAAAAAACATGTTGATTCAACCCTGGATAACTTCCTGAAGGGAGCAATGAAGAAATCCCTTGAAAGTAAAAATGGCCACCTGGACCTGTTTGTTCGCTTCCTTCATGGCCTCTCTCTGGAGTCCAACCAGAGACTCTTAGGAAGCCTGCTGGGTCAGACAGACAAGAGTCCAGAAATCATCCAGAGAGCCATCAACAACCAGAAGGAGAAGAGGACAAAGATCTCTCCTGACAGAAGCATCAACATCTTCCACTGTCTGATGGAGATGAACGACCACTCAGTACATCAGGAGATCCAAGAGTTCCTGAAGTCAGAGAACAGATCAGAGAAGGAACTCTCTGCGATCCACTGCTCAGCTCTGGCCTACATGCTGCAGATGTCAGAGGAGGTTCTAGAAGAGTTGGACCTGAAGAAATACAACACATCAGATGAGGGACGACTGAGACTGATTCCAGCTGTGAGGAACTGCAGAAAGGCTCAGTAAGTCCAGATGTGATTATCAGCACTGTAAAGCTGAAGCATCAGTATTACAGGAAAGACACACACTTTATACACACACATTATAAAACCTCCACGCTATAAAAGTTTCCTAAACTAGTATTAAATCTGCTTAACGACCATCGTTGGTATCTTCACCTGAGGCCAATAGGTTACGTTTGTTGAGTTTCCTGGGAAGTGATGAAAGGACAGCATTGTAAGTGGGGGATAAGTGGTGGCGTAGACCCCCTCCCCTGTTCAATGACGGCTTCTCCACCCTGGTGTAGATGCTTCCTTGACACCTCTTTCAAACCATCCATCTTCTCTGTCTAAAATGTGCACCTGGTGGTCCTCAAACGAGTGTCCTCTGTCCTTCAGATGTAAGTAGACTGCAGAGTCTTGACCTGAGGAGTTGGCCCTTCTGTGTTGAGCCATGCGTTTGTGTAGTGGTTGTTTAGTCTCCCCAATATACAGGTCTGTGCATTCCTCACTGCATTGGACCGCATACACTAGATTGCTTTTCTTGTGTTTGGGTGTGCGGTCTTTGGGGTGGACCAGCATCTGTCTTAGTGTGTTCTTGGGTTTAAAAAACACAGGGATGTTGTGTTTGTTGAAAATCCTCCTGAGTTTCTCTGATACTCTAGACACGTATGGAATCACAATGTTGTTGCGTTTGACCTTCTTTTCCTCCTCCCCTGTAGTTTTGGTCTTCTTCCTGGATTTTGTGGCTGTTTTCACAAAGGTCCATTTAGGGTATCCACAGGCTGTAAGTGCCCCCTTCAGGTGGTTCTGTTCCTTCTCCCTGGCTTGGGCGCTTGTTGGTATGTTGTCCGCTCTGTCGTGCAAGGTTCTAATGACCCCTAGCTTATGTTTCAGTGGGAGTCAAAAAGTAAGAATTTGTGTGGGGGTTTCCTGTAAACCCCAGTTTTCAGGCTCCTGTCCTCTTCAAGGTGTACAACACAGTCCAGGAAGCCAAACTTATCCCCCATCTACAATGCTGTCCTTTCATCACTTCCCAGGAAAGTGAACAAGCATTTCCTCTTGGCCTCAGGGGAAGATGCCAACGATGGTCATTCAGACTTGGCCTCGGGTGGTTTTAATGACCATAACGATAGTCATTACTACAGCCAGGAGCACTAATGAACCAGCAGTATTAATGATCTTGGTTTCCCTACAAGTCAGTCAGAACTGAAGAAGTCTCTTGGATGAGGGACAAAGCGTCTTCTAGTATCTTCAACCAAGTCCAGTTGCCCTTGACTTTAACCTTCTTTGCATAACTATGACCTGGATGACTGAGAATCTTCACAGACAATTACAAACATCATTGCTGTGTTTCTATCCAGCATGTTAGTGACACAAGTATCTTCTATCTAACCCAGCAGGAAAACTTGAGGATTAAGAGCTTGTGCTGAAAATGTTTTGACAGTCATCATTTTATCACTGCAGTCTTTTTATTTTTACAATGATCCAGTTTCTGTACTGTGTTTCTATACTGTGTCTGCTTATTGTTCTTCTTATATACAGACACACAGACATGTCATATCTGTGATCTGCTGGAGCTGACGTCAATTGTTTTTTTCATTATAGCTTTCATGCAGTTATTGCTATTCAATTGTTTCTCTCCAGCTTCTGAGTTATTTTATATGAAGGAGTGTTCTGTCCATTTTCACAGTTTATACAATATTTGATTTGAGAGGATGTGAGGGGAGACAATACTCCTTCTCAAAGAGCGAACAGAACATCCCCCTCTCCATCCTCATCAAATAAAAGGTGCCACTTTATAGTTTAGTTCCAACAATGAATGTCTCTTTATGTGTTTTGCTACATTAGAAATGAGTTTGATTTAGAAACTGGTAAATTCCAAAGCTACTTTAGTAATGTTCACTGACAGAGAATGTTTTTACAACTTAATGTGAGAAATGATATTAGTTTGCAAACACAAACTGTCAGACAATGTGTTTCCTCTCTTCTCCATTTCACAACAGCAACACTAAAGGCAAGGTATGCAGAGGAAATCACTAGAGTGTGATCACATATGTGTCAATGTAATTATTTGATTTTGTGGGGTTTTACTCTTTTGAAAAGGACTTTTTTTGCTGTTTATATGAGTAATATGGTTTGTAAACCAAAATGGTAAATCTGCTGCAGCCGGTACCTGTAACACACACATTTCCACTGTGGATTTCATTGAATCTGCAGCCACAGTCTTTGTCTGGTTTCCTCAGACAGCAGCTCATTACACAGTCAGCTGCTGGGACGGCCTCCAGGTTCATTCTGCCAGTGAAGGAGAGCTCAGCAGCTTCAGTTCAGTGGAGGGATTTTATCATCACCGAGCTCAGAGAAGAAATGATGCTGTTAAACAGCTGAACTCCACTGGAGAAAACTATTACCCATTTTTTGCAACTGCTTACACACATTTTCAAAACTATGTCTCCTTTTTTTTAAAACATGAGAAAAAATTAATCACCCATAAAATGTTAATAATACAGTCTTTAGTACTAATTATGCTATTGATGCAAAAGGAGTCATTAAGTTAATTTTCTAGGAGATGAAAAGCAGATGGAGTGACATAATAAGATAAACACACACAATCACATAACTGAGGTAAATCCCTACGAGTGCAGTTCCAACCTGCAGTGATTTTACAGCTCAGTGAACATGACGTTAAAATAAAGTTTAACAAACAAATCGCAGAAGCCTGTTAATCACAATATGACATGTTCACATAACAGTCATTGGCAGACATTTTTGTCTAAAGCAGTAGTTTGTGGTTCATTATCTTGCTCAAGGACACTTTGACATGTGAACAAGAGCTCAAACCTTGTGATCAATGAATGACCAGCTGACCAGCTGAGCTGCAGTCTGTTTTTATAATAACATGTCAGATTTTATTTTACTTTAAGTTTTAAATTCTCTGTTCTTCACAGACTGGGAACTTTCAAAGACTCATTTTGAAATCGTGGCCTCAGCTCTGAAGTCCAGCCCCTCCCATCTGAGAGAGCTGGACATGAGTAACTACGACCTGCAGGATTCAGGAGTGAAGCTGCTGTCTGCTGGACTGGAGAGTCCACACTGTAGACTGGAGACTCTAAGGTCAGTTCATGTATTCTGCTCTTGTCCAGTGTTTATCTACCAAATTTATATCAAAAGAAAATTTTTA